AGTTCTGTTTCTTAGTAAAGCGAACCTGGCCCACTAACTGCTCGCAAGTTTACCCGCGACTAGTCGCATGTGCGCGCGACCATTCGCTCCTTCGTTCATTCGTATATACATGAGCCAACCTTCTATCACCGATTCATGATTGCAATATCCTTTCTTCCTTCTATATCATATACTATCTTATAAATTACGACAATAAAAATTAACTATCATTAACAATTTAATAATTTTAAGATGATCTTGATCACGATAGCCAAAATGAAGGATAAACTGTAATAAATTGACTCCTATATATTCAAATATATAATTAATTATATAATTAATTGACTTCCTTGTATTACTTAATTTTATTAATAAAATCTCTACTTTCTTAAGCATTTCCTTAAATCGTAATTATTAATGATACTACTTTTTCAATTGCAATATCATTCGATTAATTAAGCAAACAACAAAACTTACTATAAACAGTACCATAATAGCATTCACATTTTTAATGTTAGATTAATAGATATACATACTTATTTTTCTTTACGTATTACCAGAACTTTTATTATACTTTCTAACAGATTTTGGTACTTTGGAAGAAGTGGGTACACGAAACTCTTCTGGTGTAACACGACTTGCAAAAGAAAATCTGTGAAATTAAAACAAATGTTTGATTGTAACATTTCTATAATAAATATTTTCAAAATATAAAAAATATGAGAAACATAAGTGTACTTAATATTTACCTATAACTTTGTAGTGGTGTATTTGTAGAATTTATTGAACGAGTCGAAATAGATGCTGTGTTAGGACTAATACCTTTAAGATAATTCAACTTTTCTTGTGTTTTTTCTATATTATATTTAAATTTATTGCATTCTTGTACCATATACTCTGTCTTTTGAGTAACCTTACAATAATGATTCTTCAGATCATAGTACTTCCTTCTCTTCAAAAAATATGATAATAAAAAAACAAATAGGATCATTATTATAATATAAAAAACTTAATTGACACTTATATATATAAATTTAAAAAGAAAAAAAAACACTACATACGATCTCATAAAAGCGTTCTAAAATGATGCTCAGTTGTGTGTTCTGTAAATTTGTTGCTGTTTTCAATGATCCTAAAGTTTCATTCAATGGAACAAAGTAAGATGCTATTTCTGATGGCAATGGTTCTTGTAAAGATAAAGAAGCAGGTTTTTGGAACCCACAAACTACGCACTGTCTTGCAACTAAGATATAATAAATTTATTTTATAAAAACATATATTTTATATTTATTATTAAGAGATTAGAATGATTACCTTCTTTTATGCAGTTATCACAGAATATATGTTTACACTGTGTTAATTGAAACGGTTTAGCTGTTCTAACTTTTGTACAATAACATTTATTACAAATATAATCCATTATACTCGAATCGTTCAAATGTTACTGTTTTCCAACTGCGCAAGTGAAAATAAATGTCATGGCGACTACAATCTGATTGGCTAACATTAAAACACATTATTTGAATTTTACAATCTATATATTCTGCTGTCATCTTTTTTTATTTAATCTACTATAAAATTAATTAAAGTTATGGATAATTAATATTTATAAGTTTTTAATCATTCTAAATTATTAAATATATGAAAAATACTTACTACTATGGTATATTTCATCTAATAATTATTTTCTATCTGTTTCATATACAATTAAGATTACAGATGAAAAGAAAGAAAAAAATAATTATTTTATAATAAAAACATTAATAATGAAAATAATCTTGTAATATATATTACATATGTGTGTATGTATATATCGCATTATAATAATATAATGTAATATAGACTTCATTTTATTTTATACAAAATCACAGTAAAAGTATCGTAGTACTTTAACTTTTTCCTTAATTGATATAACTGTAATATAAATTAAATTACAAGAATTTTTAAAGAAAACTTTTTACAGACGTCTACGTTAACGAATGTGAAAAGAGAATTTTAATAAATTATTTGACTATTTAAAAGTAAGAGGAAAAAGATTGTAAAATTTTTTGAGACTATTAACGAAAAAACGCCAATCTGGTTTGAGAACCAGGTAATCGACCTTGAACATCTAGTAAACCAGCTTGTATATCTGCAATTGATTGAATTGATTTAACTTGTCCACGAGCAGCTACGCTAGGAGGTGATTTAAGTAATCGACGTGCTACTCTGTATATATCTGTGTCCGATATCGCTTCTGTAAAAATAACAAATATAAAATCTATGATAAATTTATAATCAAATAATCCAATAATTACCAATTGCTTTTATAAAATATTCTGGTCTTTTTCTTGAACCAGTTGCTAAAACCTGTCTTCCGATATCTTCGAATACAACAGGTCTTTGTTCTAGATTCATAAGCAACATAGATTGTAATTGCTTCTTCGCTCTCTATAAAAGCAAACGATATTAAAAGTATAGAAAAAACAAATTTTGTTTCTTCTAATTTATACTTATATTAAAATCATGTAGTTAACTTACTTCAAGTTCGCTTTTTGAAATATTGTTAGACATTGAAACCATTTCGTGTACAATAACTTCTACCAACTCTCTTATATACGTAGGTGTGGAAGATGCATGAATACAGAAAAGACCAGTATCGATATAAGCGTGATTATATGCCGTTGCACTATACAACCAATGATACCTAAAACATGGTTTTATCGATTAATTATTTTTCTTTTTACTTATAAATATATATGATTCAAATATTTATTTTCTATTACCTGTTAAGAACATTAGTATACAAACGTGTATACATGCCCTTTCCAGGACCACCAGCACTAAAACTTCCACCACCTCCCATCATCATATTTAAAACACACATTGCCACAAAATCTGGATCTTGATGTGAACAACCTTCTAAGCCTATTATTACATGTGATAGTTCTGGTAAACCGCTTGGCCCTGCATATACTGGTACAGTACATTCTTCCTATTTATATATTTATATATATAAAATAACGTTATTAAATCCTTAATTTAATTGAAAATAATATTACAAATTTAATAGAAATTTACCAGTTTAAATCCACCTGTGTATTGTGCAATGGATTTATCAACCAACAATTCATTTTTATCTGACGAAACAATATTTTGTTCTTCCCAAATAGGCTTTCGGTCAACAAAATACCTATAACAAATAAATTGTAAGATTTGAAATACTTTTGTTAGTTTAATAAAATCTGATTGAAATTCAAAAAATGATTCAATTACTTTTCGACTGCTTTAACCAAATCCTTATGATCGATACCAACACCAGCAACGACCATTCTACTTGGAACATAATGATGTTTAAGATATTTAAATAAAATATTTCTGTCTATTACTTCTATATTCTCTTCTGAACAAATCTTGGGAAGGCCTAATGTATTATCCCTATAGGCAGCCTATGAATAAAATACAATCTTAGTATTGTTTTTAATGTAAAGTGTATATTGTAGTCAACATTCAATGCATGATAACATTAAAAATTTTACTTACAGCATGAATCATATCCATCAATATAGGTTCCTGTTCTGGTCTTGTTAACAATGTTTCTATCTCAAAACGAACCGTTTGTCTTGCTGCTAATATCTGTAAAAATAATCCTGTTTAATCTCTACAAATACAACCAATATAAATATGATATATATATTTAATAAATGTACCTCATCATCTGTAATTTTAGGCCTCAGTACAATTTCACCTAAAATATTAGTGACTGTGTCCAAGCCACGACATTCTGCAGATGCAGCGTAAATAAATGTATCTCTTGATGCCTGACAATCACATATACCTCCATGTCGTTCCAATGCTAGCATTATTTCATCTTTGCTTTCAAAATGTTTTGTTGACTAGAAAATTATCGAACATCATTACGCTCTATTCCAATCTAATTATTTTAAATATATATAATTAAAGTTCTTACACCAAACGCTAATTTTTCAAGAAAGTGAGAGATTCCACTAGGATAGACAACTTCATATCGAGGACCAGAGTCAATGAGAACTAAAAAATATGTTTGTTACTTTATTATATTTTATAATCTTTCTATTATGATATACTGATCAATTTTTTATTGTAATATATTATCCATACCACCAATTGTACAAAATTGACCAAAACGATTTTCAGAAGCAACGCGTAATCCATTTGATAAAACTGTGACCTGTGTTGTTTGATTTTCTTCCTTAGCTGTAGAATAAATTGGCTTTGGTAAATTAGATACTGGTTTTGTCAACGGAGGCAACGATGTAACAGTTGGTGATTCTCTTACAGAGGTTGTAAAGTTACGGGCTTGCCAAAGAGTAAAATTATCTATTTGTACAGGACTGAAAAACAAAACAACATAAATGTTTAAACATAAATGAACATTTTATAAGTTCTATTCATTTTTACTTTTTTACAAAATAACTATTGAAATGATAATATTAATTACAAATATTAGTTGTATTTTAATTATGATTTATAACTTATAAATTAAAAATGAAATAGCGTAAAGGTTAAGATATCCAAATTTAGAACAACTGTCTAATGTAATATCATATTAAAATTACCGTTTTTTGAGTACAGCAGATAATGAAATTGGTGGTAACCTAATCAACATTTTGACTTTATTTGATAATTTAACAATTTTTTTTCACTTATTACTATTATTAGAATTATTATTTATAGATCAAATTTTTATAGAAAAAAACCAGTAGTAACATGAATATAACAAATGGTTTTGTAAGTTTTTTCATTGGCATGGAGTTACACATTATTTTGAGTGGAGACTCCATTGTGGTAATCACACACATATGCGTATAAACAAATATATTTTGTTAAATCTAATATTCGATGTTTCCAGGACAAATATATTAGAAATAAATAATAAATATTGTTAATAAACACAAAAAGTAAATAATTTCATATGGTCAACATATATTTTAGTACTAACGTCTGCCACCAAAGGGCGAACAAAATTTTACTAAGAGTTTACTTTCTATATGACTTGCTATTTAAATCTAATAGTCCAGTTAGTTGCGATCGTTCAAGGAGTCAACAGTATATAAAGAATATTGATTAGTAACATCGAATTGCGTAGTTGAAGTGATTTCTATCTGTCAAATTTAATTACATATTGAAAAGATGCATTGTATTTTTTTGTATCTTTCTGTTCTGTTAGTGCTTGCCAATGCAGATTTAGTAAGGTTAGTAAATATTTAATACAATAATTTATAATTACAAAATAAAACAATAATTAATAAAATATTTTGTTCATTTATTCAAGAATCCCTTTGTACAAGATACCAACCGTGAGATCTACACTAAAAGAATATGATACGGAATTGCACAAAGTACAGCTTAAATACGGTGATATGACACCGGAACCTTTATCTAATTATCTTGATGCTCAATATTATGGTGTCATTAGTATTGGTTCGCCACCGCAAGATTTTAGTGTTGTTTTTGATACGGGTTCCTCAAATTTATGGGTTCCATCCAAAAAATGCCATGTAACGAATATTGCTTGCCGTAAGTATACAAATATATATTATAATATTTTCATAGTTATTCTATATGATCAGTAATTATAATAATAGAATTAAATCAGAATTAATCAGCTACGAACAAAAAAAAATGCATAATGATGATAAGTAGTGTCAATAGGTTAAAGAACATTTATTATCTTTATTTTCCTCTTTGTATTTACGTTGACCCATGTGATTGATTATATATATGTGTAATACAATTAATGTAAAATGTAAAATTGAATGATAAAATAATTGTTCAATTATATTTCTTTTACAGTTTTACATCACAAATACGATAGCAGTAAATCATCCTCTTATAAACAAAATGGTACTGAGTTTGCAATTCGATATGGCTCGGGTAGTCTTTCTGGATTCCTATCTGTTGATAAAGTATCAGTAAGTTAATATTAATATTATACCAATTTCATTGGAGTGCTACGAATAATGTCTGCATTAATATCAATAAATTTAATATAAATGAAATTTGTTAGATCGCAGGAGCAGAAATCAAAGATCAAATGTTTGCAGAAGCTATGAGCGAACCTGGACTTGCCTTTGTCGCTGCTAAATTTGATGGGATATTAGGAATGGCATATTCTAAAATAGCTGTAGATGGTGTAACGCCTGCTTTTTATAATATGGTTAAACAAGGCATCATACCACAGGCCATTTTTAGTTTCTACTTAAACAGGTATTTTATTTTATTGTCTGGTGTATCATTTTCTTTGTTTTTAGTATACTATGTTTCATTTTATATTTTTCAATCTATTCAGAGATCCTTCGGCATCAGTAGGTGGAGAAATGATATTGGGAGGTTCCGATCCAAATCATTATGAAGGTAGTTTTACATATGTTCCTGTGGATCGCAAAGCATACTGGCAATTTAGAATGGATAGGTACAGTTTACATTATTAATATTTATATAGTTTTACTTAATTATACTATCTAAAAAATGTAATATCAATTTCATTTAATTGTAGAGTTGAAGTTGGCAACAACGTATTTTGTAAAGATGGTTGTGAAGCTATTGCAGATACTGGTACTTCATTAATAGCAGGACCAACAGAAGAAATTAAAGCAATAAATAAAGAAATTGGTGCAACACCAATTATAGCAGGAGAGGCAATGGTAAATAATATTATAGAAATCTTTCTTATTTTCCTACCATTTTTATAAAAGTTTTTCCTCAAGAAAATATATTCCAAAAAATGAAATAAATAAATATATTATATTTCTGTTTAAAGGTTGACTGTAACTCTATCGACCATTTACCTGTAATCAATTTTGTGCTTGGTGGACGTTCCTTCTCTTTGTCTGGTAAAGACTATGTTTTAAAGGTTGGTACAAATGTAATTATGTAAATTAAAATAATATGATATAATATGTTAACAAAAATTTACAAGATGTCTACTTTACTACATAGGTGACACAATTCGGTAAAACTATTTGTTTGAGTGGATTTATGGGTATTGATATTCCTCCACCAAATGGGCCCTTATGGATCCTTGGTGATGTATTCATTGGACGTTATTATACTGAATTCGATATGGAAAATGATCGTGTAGGGTTCGCAGTTGCTAAGTAAAAGCAATTAAAACTTTTTGCTAAATATAAAAGTAATATTACGATAAAATATGCATTAAATTGGATAAAATACATATGGATATTATATAGTTTGTTTATTGGACATTATTTTATCTTATAACGATCATAATTTCATTAAAAAACATGTTGCTATTCACTCTATGTGTATATATGTACCTACATTTAAACAGAGTACATGTAATAATTATAAAAAATTATAAACATTCAAATATACTTTCATTTAAATTAAGATCTATTAGAATTATGTTATCTTCTACTTCTGTTTTTCGTTTTACTCTCAGGTATATAAAACGTGATACACTAAAATAAATTGTTAGTTATTATTTAATTACTATAAGAACTAATCGAAATTTGGGAAAAAGAATTACGAAAGTATATCATACAAGAATAGCAAAGAAAAAATACCTGTTCATCCAAAAAATCGATAACAGCATTAATTTTGCATTTAAAGCCACCTGTTTTTAACATTTGATGCAACCATTCTATATTCAATGGTTCATATTGCAAAATTTTATTATGCAGATCTTTATTAAATTCAATTAATTTCGAAAATGCTTCTTTTATATTAACACAATCATCTAATGTAATGGCGTTTTTAATGTTATTGATATATTCTCCTGAAGTTTCCGTTCTTTTATCAAAATAATTGGAGTCCCTTGAATAATTTTATCCATATTATTTTATTGTAATATTTTATTATTTTATTAAATACATACCATTTTTTTAAAAGAGTTACATTGCATCCATATTCGGTGTTATTATATTTATCCAATAAACTAATATCTGCCTTTTTTCTTTTTTTTTGTGGTTCTTCATAATCATTATACATATTTGTTGCGCTAGTGTCCATTGTTTCACATAAATCAATGGTAGGATGTAACTCGTTATAAATATACGTTAATAATTTAATAGTTTTATTACGGCTTTGAACCTTTAATCCATATTTCTCCATCTCTCTCTACAAAATACAGATGTAAACAATTACTAAAAAATATTATAAACTAAATTAATGAAATAGCAACTAACAAACATACATGAAGCTCAGGAGTATTCATAATATTATAATTTGGTGGTGCAGTATCATCGTTTTCAGTAATAGTAAAGAATTTATTTTTTATAAATAATTTGTGATTATTTTCTTTGATATTGAATTTATCAATTTGATCTTTCTCTTCAGTCATATAATTCATTTGTAAATTTTCTTCAGATTTACATTTCTTTTTCAATATTTTATTTCTTGAAGAAACGTGCAATGCATTTTTATCTAGTACAGTATGTTCTGTTCTGTCATCGATATTAATGTTTGAAAAATGTATTTCATTCGAAAAATTATAGCGCAAATCATAATCGGAATCATGTAGTTTTGAACGTACAAAAGAAATATTCTCATTTTTATTGAAGTCATCAATATCTTGACTATCTACATTTATCTCTGAGGTAGGAGATACGACAATCGAATTTGGATTACTTGATTTCAAGGGACTTACATGCTCATTTTCAATATCAGATATTTCAGGAGAAATTAAATTTAAAATATCTGAGCAATCATTATTCCAATGATCTGTTTCTTGTTCTTTAAAATTGTCTTTATGTTGATAACTGTTATTTTTCAAAATATCATAAATTTCTACTTTATTTTCAACTTTATCAGAATTTGATGCAATAGCTCTAGTATTTTCTATTTCATCAATTTTTATTTTAGTCGTATCATTTTTATATTTTTTCGAAGCAGATCGACATGTAGCAATACTATTATCGTCAAGTTTTCTTTTATTTTTTGTATGCACATCTGGATCATCTGTATCCATTTCACTACTGGAACGGTATGATGCATTTATAAAAGCACCATTGACTTGTGAATTTAGAGTCATTTTTTCTAACAAATGTTTATCATTATATGTACAACTAGTTCTAATTTCTTTTGTTGGTGATAATAAATCTGTACGGTTATGTTCAGCATGTGAGGTACATGTAAGATCTATTGTAATATTGTATAATTGTGGATTTTTATTAGCATCATTCTGCATATCATTTTCAAGTTTACTCAAGAAACCTTTCTTTTCTCCTTGATCTGAAGAAAGTTTAGAAATATTGAGCTTATCGAGACCACTAGATTTATTACGTATCTTCTTTACAAATGGATTTCCATTAAATTCAATAAAACTGGCTGAAGGGTCTATCTCAGAATCCAAATCAAAGTCTGATATATCATTTTCTCTTTGGACTTCTTCAATAAATAATATTAGATCACTTTCAGATCTGATTTTATCTGTTAAAATATTTGAAGCCTGTTTTGATTGACTATTTCTTGCAGTTTCCGTTAATGGTTCAATAAGTACACATTCATCGATAGAAGATTTACTTTTGTTTACTGTTGAAGAAAAGATTTGATTTGTATTAATTTCTGAATTGCTTTGAATTGGGCTTAACAATACATCAAGGTTTTTATTTAAATTATCCGTATTCATATGATTTATTTGAACATCATTCGTATCATTGAATATATCTGGAGACATACTGTTTTCTCTATCCAAATGCGAATCAGATTTATTATTTTTTTCCGAAGATATCATAATTGTTTTTAACAGGTCATCATGCGAGATTTCCATTTGGGAAATATTAGGAATACTTTGATTGATACAATTAACATCATCGTTATTACAAATTTCTTGTATATCATGATCGTCTAGTTCAAATTCATAATTTTCTGAAGTTTTATCATGCAAAATAGCATATTCGTGACGTAAATAAGTGAATAATTCTTTAACTTTATACCTTCTTGCTAAACGTCCCAGCGAAGACATGGCAATCTTGTCGGTCAAAGTAATTGCATGCTTTTTAATAATTCCACAATAAATAAATTCCAAAAATGCCAAAGCAATGTGATATTCTATGTCGGCCCAATTGATCATTTCTTTAACCGAATAAGTTGTATTATTGTTTGGTATTATATCGAGTAAAATATTAGAACACCGTACATAAAACACCAATTTATGTACCCAAATGTGTTTGTCATCATTAACAAATATTATTGTATCACTTGACGAACTATTATTTAGTGCATTTCCCCAATCAAGTATTAAACTATTAAAAGACGATTGCATGCTAATATTCCCTTGTTCTGTTTTTAAAGATAATTTTGCATCCGCTTTTGGCGATATATCCGCGCTTTCCTTTTTATTGAAATATAAATCGGATTTTGTTGGCAATAAATCTTTTGGTTCTGGCTCATTTGTGATATTCGAATCACTTTCAATTTCCTGTAAATAATATGCTAATATTATACTATTATACTAAAAATAATTTTTATGATGCAAATTTTATTCATATGCATGCAAATTATAGAACATATATATGCATATAAATACCATAAATATTTGTTTTGTACTTGGAATTACATATGGTGATAAATCCATAACGTAGAAATCTTCTTGATTTTGCTGTAACATTGCTGAATTCCATAATTTACTATCCTGTATATAATATTACAGTACACAATGAGAAAAAATATAAAAATTTCCTAAAAAATGTTTACTATACAACGACCCGAAAAATATACTTACAAAATCCAAGTATTTTTTAAGAGTACGACTTCTCAAATTGTTCTTTTTTGAATTTTCACGTTTAGTTTCTAGTTGTTGTTGGCTCTGGTTAAATGTCTGACTATCTATTAAAATTTCAGCTATTCTTTCAGTTATTAAACGATCCCTTTCTTCTTTTGAACGAGTTTGTAATACTGTTACAAAGCTTGATTTTTCTATTTAACAAAAATGATGTATATATGAATAAATTTATCTTTTAGAAAATATTTTTATCTTAAATTTGTAATATTTAATATTATAATATAAAATTATACAAGTTAAATATAAGCATGCTATCTTTAATTTATTCATACTTTTCTTTTGGATTCGACTAGTTTCTATTGGATCTTTGTACTTAAGCTCCATAATAGAATCTTTTGACGAATGTAAAATCTCTATTTCATCGTAACTTCCAGCTTCTTCAACTTCATATAGGGATTTAGAAAGTGCAAGAGCAAGCTCCAATTGAGGATCTTTTGTTGAAAACTGTAATAATATAATTTTTACAAAATTTGCGAATATTATCAATGTTTTATTCACAACGTACCATTTTATTTATAGTAGTCTGTTTTTTATTTTTTAATACGGGTGCAGCAAGTAATCCAAGAGAGGCTCTTTCAGCAGATTGACGTTCTTGTAACTCCATAGCTTGTAATAATTGTTTCATAGAAACATTATTTTGAGTTGCACAATTTTTCATATGAAGCGTCTTGCTATTTGTATCCTTAAAAGTTTTAAAACACAATGGACACATGTATAGAATCTTCGCATCATTTGGAAGTTTTGTAGATTCATTTTTTTCCATAGACGTACTTGATTCTGTTTGCTTAGGAACATCGAAAATATTTTTTTTTAATTGATTGCTAATACTCGCTTTCTTATTTAAAGTTTTATTCGACTTGGTCTTTAGCTTTGTTTCTTTTTTTTTATTTGTTTCTAATTTGAAATTAAACTGTTTTAACGTTGGGACTAGTTTTTTTTTAGGAGATTTAAAATCCGCTAGACTTGTATTAGTATCCAAAGATGAAGATTGACCGACTTCGCTATCACTTCTAGGCATATTTTTATCATATTTTTCTATGTCCATATTGTATTTGTTTCCAAGGGATTTTTAATTATAATATCTATAAATGAAAATTTATTATTTTATATATTTATTATATTTAATTTTTATTTATTTCAACATGAAAATATATAAAAGAGAGAAATTTTTGAAACTTTGCATTACAATCGAATATCAATTATTTCTAATTGACAATTGGTCCTGAAAGTACAAAATATTCCTGTGTCTCTCGCTGTATCTATATATATATACATATATACATATATTAATCGAAATAAAATATAATAATCGCTAAAGTTTAACAAAGAATTAATTCGTAAAAAGGTTGTCCCGACGTTGACGCATGCAGCATGTTTAGAAACTTTTATTACTTTATCCTCGATTAAAATAAAGGCCGAGTGATTTGAAAGCACGATTAACATGTTACTTTATTTTCCTTGCTTGAAATAACAAAATGTAAAAATAATAAGACATTTGAAATTAATTTTTGAAGGGTCGACCGGTGGGAGTTTGAGTCCTGTGACGTCACTCGCGCTTAATTCCTTGACAGGAGCACCTTTGAACGGACTACAGGATTCTTTGAGTAACGCTTATTCGAGCTTGCAGCAATACGCAGGTAATTATTTTTAGATTAGTTCTAAAAGCGTGTCGTGATAAACGACAAAAGAACATTTAACGTGTGTGTTTAACTACTATATACACATATATAAATATTGTATATATATATATACATAGATACCTATATACATGTAAATATTATATTCTGCATTGATCGTAAAGTTGCATTTTTTCTAACGAGTTAACTGTGCGCATTAAAGCTCTCATTGGAAAGACGACGGTGACCGTGGAAAAGAAAGAATTGCATAGTGAGTAAAAATTCTAAAAAAGAAAAATTCTAAAAAGTATAACACACGAGAAGTAATTTGAAATAAAAANTGAAATTATTTATTTAATTCGAATATATTTACGTTTTTTTATTTCAGTAGTATGAAAAATAGTGTAAATAAAAATATTTTGTAATATTTAAAATACAATGATCATTACTCGTAAAATATATAACAAATTTAATAATTATTTATATATATTTACTCATAAATATATCTAATAACATCATTCATTGCATAATACATAATACATACTATTACGACTATGTTAAACTGTCTTCAAGTAGGTACTTCTTTATTTTCCTGCAGCTGCATCAAATATGTTTAATTAATTTCATGCACAGTATAATATAAGTAAATTTTATTTAATTAAATGTGAAAATATTTACTTGTTTAGTAATTTCTGCCCTTAATTCAATTCTTTCTTTTATATGTTGCTCTAAGTTCCATTCTATTGGTCCAACAACGTTTTCATTCGGTAAAAATTTGAATTTATCTATAAGTCTCTCTAACTGTGGAAATGGACTAAAATAATATTTAATTTATTACAATGCATCTACGCGTATAACTGAATAACAATTTTAAATTCAATAGTGATATGTTAAATCTTTATTTGCATGTATATATATGTAAATATAAATATTACTAAGTATAAGCTATGTTTCAACTGTCATTAAAATTAAATGTAATATATAATATATATAATACGCTCACTTTAAATTATAGGCAATTGTGAAAATGAAACCAGAAGAAATAAGAATTGCACTGTACATGTATTTATTGAGTGGAGTTCCATAAAACTTACGAGGTTTTCTATAGTCTGTAAATCTTGGATCTTTATACATTTCCTGCAACGAATTGAATTTACACTAAATATAATAACCAACAAATTTGAATAAAAGCCATATACTTTTCAAAATAAAATATACGTACTTAGAATTAACGAGAATCTAAAGTTATGAACGAATATCTGCAGCCCTTTGTTTTTTCCAAGTGGTGAGATAATGAAACTTTGATAAGAGATTTCTAAATTACCACGTGTCGATATATGCTTCGTACACCTAGCGATAATTTCAAAGAAGCTCACAAGTCCCCTTTTTTATCTAACCAGATTCATCTAAGTTACTACCAGAACCACCAGTGGACCTACTAGAATACAGTATTCTTTGATAGTATATATAGTATAGTTATATTGTAATAGAATTTTAAATAATTATATTTAATTTTTAATGTATAAACATGTGTGTGCCTTCAAAAATGCATTTATACATATATCTTAAAAAGTAGTCATTTAAGACGTTCAACTAGAAGAAAATCTTAAAGGTTTGTTGTTAAACTAACGATTTAAAATACCCGTGTAGGTGCGAGAAGACTGTATTCATAAAATGCAATGTATGTCGAAAAAAATTATATTTCGTATGTATGTACGACGAATATTTTCATCTTTATGCAATTATTTACAGCTCCTGCGCAGTGATGACTTCGAGGGTGAAATTGTCCTGTAATATAAGTTGCATATAGTGCATTAGTGCATTAAAATAATTGTTAATTAATCGAAGGCAACGTGTATTATTGTTTAAAAACACTGAATATATGATCAGAGTACTGTCCTCTTCGAAATTCACCGTTGAAATGAGTCATTATCCTCTATAAAATTTACTTTTATTGATTATTGTTTATATGACTTTCCTTAAAAGGAAATTCTATCTATTACGAATATTACTTTTGTTATGCGTATTTACCATATAAGGAAAGTCATATAAACAATTTTTTTAATATATTATTCTATTATTAATATGGAATTCTTTGATAGTATTGTACCGTCATCGCGTTAAGTACCTACTATTGCCCACTGGTGGTCTCGGTAGTAACTAAGATGAATCTGGTTAGATAAAAAAGGAGACTTGTGAGCTTCTACTTTCATATTCTTTAATAATTCGTTCCAATTAAATTTGAAAATTCTTTTCGGAAGTAAATTCATTGAAATGAAAGAATTAAAAAAAAATATTGTAAAATAAGTTTTAATGAATTTATACTGCAATTTAATGGGAAAATAACAAAAAGAAGAAACCATTATATTCGCATATTAGTTGCAGATGTTACTACTGTATCGTTTGATAATGTATCAGTAACCTTGAGAACAATGCGTTGCAATATTACATATCAAATTGTAGTATGCTTATATATTAATGAACTGATAATTATTTTATACAGAAAAAAGATTAACATTTTGTTAAGGGAAAAATATGAAGTATATGTGACATTCGACATTTAAAGCATTGATCCGACGATATTGGAATATTGTTATCTACGATCACGCACAACTTATAAAGCTATTTTTATCGTAAATAATTTTATCCATAAACAACATTTGTTTTAATTATTTATCATATTTTTATATTTTTTAAATACTATATGTTATTGAGAATATTTAAATCTACAGATAGAGAAAAAAATATCTTAAAATACTAATGCACTAAATGTAGCGGTGACGTCATGCTATGACGTCACCGACACGTCAGCGGTGATTTGCTTTTCTACATTACAGCAAAATATATTACTGCAAATACATTATGTTTATACTTTATATATTAATGTTATTCAATTTTCTTTAATATTGTTTAACGCATTCAAATTGCATTTGATTAAAAGAACTTGAAAGTGTTTCGAATATGCGATAATACGTGATAATTGTAAAGGTTGTTCAGTCAATGAGAAAATCTATTAAACGATTCTAATAATTGTATCATTTGCGCCAATCAAAAAAACATTAATTCTAAACAATTTTGTAACGTAAGAAATGTACGAGTTTGTAAAAAATAAAAAACAGTAAAAACTTAAGAAGAAAGTAAAGAAAAAAAATGTAAAATGCTGAAGAAAAAAAGAAAGAGTGTCGTAGGCGCAAAGTGAAATAAGGCACAAGCTGAAAGAAGCAAAAAAATAAGTAGCAAGTGAGTAGAAGATTGATAAAAAAGTGTAAAATTGTCTGCCGCGCCTCTCGGTGCTTTTATAAAGAGACGGCGATAGAAGCATTGGCGGGGGTAGTAGCGGTAGCGGCGGGGGTAGCGGCGGCGGCTAGGCAGTGCTACTGATAGTGGGGGAGGTGGGGAGATCGACGGCGAGGGACGTGGATGGTCGCCATTTTGATGGTGACGCGCAGCTCGGGTTCCACCAGTGACGAAGCCACTGGAGTTTTGACGTGGCTGCTACGTACCTGCTCGCTTGCCCACTCCGATTGCAGCAAAGTTGGTGACGAGAAATACGTAACTGGTAAGTACCCAGCTGGAGAATAATAACAAGCGGACATGGACCACTGCGCTAACGGTACACCCGAAATACTCTCGATAGTAACCGTTAAACGTTTTTATTCGTGAGACTCTCAACGCATGTTGAGGTTTTATGTCTGCTACTATGGAATATACTGCGAAATATGGCGTCTTAAGAAAGGACGAGACGAATATCTTCGTTGAACAATGATCTAGGGTTACCTCTGTTGTTTCGACATATTTAATTTTCTCATCTTCAAGGACTCGACTGATCTTGATTAAAACGATGTGCACATTAATGAATGACGGTTCTACAACTTTCATACATCTGCCGCCAAAGCACCTTAAGTGTTTATTGTTCTGATATTATTTTTAGATCTGCTTATGTAAATGACGCAGTAGCATACTCAGTTCGTTCTTATTGGCGGGAACTTTTAAAATTTCCCTTGTCTCTCTACGTTAGTTCTACGGTTTAAATTAATCTGACAGTTTCTTCCGTTTTCCTTCCTTCGATTATATTTCAGATCGTAAATTCGATGTCGGAAGTTGAACTATTCGATTAAATAATCGATATTTTATTATTATATTATTATTTATGGTATTATTACATAATATAAAGAATGTAGTTAATTATTATTTTTGATGTGCTAATGTTTTGCTAACTTACAAATTTCAAATACTTTTTGTTTTTTTTTATCACATCACTTGATTATATTATTATGTACTAAACTATTTATATATTTATATTTATATTTATATTTATGCAGTGAAATTTGATTAACTTTGATTGCGTTTAATCTATCTCATTAGTATACGTAATGTAACGAATAGTAAAAGATAATCTATATTTCATTTGATACTAATCATAATTACAGGGCTCCTTGTACCCAGGCTATGGAAAGTATGGTCGAGGAAAATGGATCGGCCGTTGACCCATTATCACAGGGTTCCCAAAGTGGTGATGCTGCTCCAGCAATTGCAACATCGGTACAGTCTCTCAATAGAACGCCTCAACAGCAAACTCATCATCTGGTAGCTTCTACCAGCATTGTGCAACTGACACTACCTTCATCGGGAGCAACACAGGTATACAGGAGAAACTCCTGTGTATCTATGTCCAATACATTTAATTCCTTTCTTTTTTTTTTCTTCTTCGAATGCATGCATGTGTTATTTCTTTATTTCTTACAAACAGTTAAATTTCTTTGATATTGCATAATGCTGGTTTTCATTATAAAATTTATTTATGAGTTGCAAAATATACATTTCCAATGATTATTCTTTATACACTTGTCGTATCTAATTTCTTAAAAAGAAGATGTAACTAAAATTTCTATTTTCATTTGAAAATATTATGAAAAAGTTTAACGATATTGGAGCATGTAAATAGTTCCCCTTATATCTTTCATTAAATATATAATGTTATTATTTATTATGTTATAATAATATATTTTACAGGTTCAATCAGTTATACAACCCAATCAGCAATCCGTAATTCAGACAGCAACAAACATTCAACCTGTTGCTCTTTCCAAAGGAAATGTTATTCTTGTTAGCAAACCAAATTCAGTCATACAAACTGCTCAAGGCAGTTTACAAACGCTGCAGGTACTTCATATTGTTGTTTTACACATGAAATTTATATCCTTTATATATTTGACAGATTTTAATATGTATTCTAATAATATTTCTATTTGAAACACTTAAAATCTTTATGTTTAAGGTTGTCGAAACTGGGAGTGATGATAGTTTTACTGATGAAGAATCTCCTAAAACAAGAAGTAATATTCTTACCAGACGTCCATCGTACAGAAAAATTCTTAATGATCTAGGTGGTGGAGAAATTACTGGTGAGATTATCCTTTTTTATAATTGTCCGTTTTTATTTATCAAAGATCTTTTTACATTATGTGACATTGATTTAGAGTTGTTTACTGGCTATAATTTTCTTTTTTTTTATAATTATTTAATTGAAAAAATTTTATTCGATTATTTAATAGAAGCGTAACAAGAAATTGTTTAACTATACTTCAATAATAAAAAGAAGTAATTTCTTTTATAATTGTAGAAATACTACTTTGGAAAATTAAATTCATTCAAATATTACAATAGAGTATTTTTTTAATATGATTGAAGTTCAAATTGTTCATGGAGATCATCAAAGTGCATGTCAGTTCATACAAATTTCATTGTTAATAGTGAAAGATAATCATATTATAATATAATGAAAATATAAAATGCAGAAAATTGATAAATGTCATGTGTATGCAAATGAATTGAATAGGTTTAGATATATGATGCTTACGTTTACTTATGTTTCTTCGTTTATCTGCTACGATATCTATGAAAGGATGCCATACCAAAATTACAATGTATATGTTATGTCAGTTAGGTTTCCAGATAATCCCAATTTATTTTCTCCCATATATGGAATTTATTTCCTTTTTGGAAGTGCATAAGACCTTTCATTGACCTATGAGTGTGTGTGCTTTTTTAATTATGAATAATAAAAATGTATTCAAATGATGAAGAGGTATTGCATTTGATAATCAGTTTACTTGTCTTTAGTTACGGTGTACAAGTTAGAAGATGACGCATTGATGAAGATATTTATTAGAATAATTTCTCTTATGAATTTAATAATAATAATAATTGAATTCAACATTAATAAATTACATAATTGTCTATCCTTTTTTACAAATAAATATGAATGTTTAAGAAGAATAATTATTACTTGCCACCATTAAAATAAGATATATTTATACATTTTTCTTTAAATCTATTATTACTATTACTATAGTTGAAGTTTCGAAAAAGTAAAGATTTATATTTGATAGAATTCTAATCTTCAGAGTCTCTATACTTATGCTATGTGGTTGATCATTTTTAATCTGCCATATAATTTGATCTGTTTTGATGGTTCACGCGTAGGGTTACATTTAAATAGATAAATGTATTGTTTATTTTGCATTTAAATGTTATACGCTTATAACTATTTTTATTTATTTAACGAATCTATGAGTTTACAAAATAATAAATATTCTGTCTATTAATCGCTAATTTTTTATTTTTAAAAGAATAAGAAATAGATAGTATATATTTTTATTTTTCACTTTATCTTCTATTTCCTTTTTGTATGAGCTGACAGCACAATAAATTAATAAATATATAGATCAGTAACCAGAAAGGAAATAGTTATTAATTGTTATAATCTGAACACTTTATTTTTCACACACACACACACATGTTATGATTTATATTATATGATTTACATTTTATTACAGTATATATCAATTTATCTATATAACAAAATTTTGCAACCACACATACGACGTTACAATTATTGAGAATATTTTTAATTATAATAATAAGTTACTATCATTCATAAAAAATTAAATTTCCATATATCCCTTTATTTTTAAAAAAATGTTAATATTCTTCTTGCTCGTATAAGAAAATATAGAAGTGTATGAAAAAAAATACATTTCACTGTAATGGGAGGGTTCTTCATTCGGTGTTGCAGACGGTCGTTTACCCCCCATAGAATCTTCTTCAGAGTGTGATTCTAATGTGGACAGTGAAGTATCTTCGCACTCTCTTCATTATCAGACAGGTTGGTTATTTATCTGCATATTTCTGCTGACTGTTCTGTGTACCACTATGATCTCTATATGTATTTTATCCACCGTCAAACATACTTTCTATTATCAAATTGGGATGGTCTTTGTCTGATATAGTATAATTACATTAAGTATGCCAATTTAAAATATTATCTCATACCCCTGTGTGCATTGCCTAACATGACATTGTATCCAAATATTCGTTTGGTGTGGCATCCTTGTGTATAGAAATTTTTATTTAAATTAAGTAGTATCAACGTGATATACGAACAAATAATTGATATAATTTGCTATTATTTAATATCGATAGTTTACATCACAATATCCTCAAAAAGTATACATGTGACATTATAATCTTTATAGCATAATGAATATGTGAATACATATTTTAATACAAATATATTTATACATTTGTAATAATACAAGAATAAGCATAGATTGATATATTTTACAGTAATACCTGCTGGCGCGATTCAAATTGCAACACAAGGGGAAGGCGTACCAGGGCTTCATACGTTAACTATGAGTAATGCAGCAACGGCGGGTGGAACTATAGTAGAATATACACAGACCCAAGATGCACAATATTTTGTCCCAGGTGTGCTTTACTCATGGTTATTTTTATCTTGTATTCTTCTTTGCATTATCAGTAGCAAAGTTACAATTTCACGCGTATTACATTTAACATTCGATAGATTTTCTTCTTACGCTTCTTGCATTATTATTCTATAAAAAGTGATTATTTTTTTCTCTCTCCATTCTATGCTTTTTTAAAATAAAGTAGTTAGTAAGGATTTTCGTATCTATAAATGTACAGCCTTCGACACCGTTACAGCTTATTCAGGACATGGTGTAGTTGTTGAAGATGCAGCTAGAAAAAGGGAATTGAGGTTGCTGAAGAACAGGTAAGAGATAAATGTTTATTTAATAACATTTATACAAATATATTTTCATTATACAATCTGTAATTAATGAAGACATTTTTTTGCAGGCAAGCGGCAAGAGAATGTAGAAGAAAGAAAAAGGAATATATTAAGTGCTTAGAAAATCGTGTAGCAGTTTTAGAAAGCAGAAATCAGACTTTAATCGACGAACTGAAGTCTTTGAAGGAACTTTATCAACAAAAAACTGACTGAGGTTGGTGTTCAATATTGAAACACTATATCAAAATTATTAATTGATTATGGAATCTGTACATGTTTTGTTTGTGTACATTATCCTAAGACATTGTTAGGTAAACGGTGGTGATGTAAATGCATTCTTATAGATAAGCGTTCTGTAACATACTATATTTAAGTGTGAATACAAAGGCTTGTGAGACTTGCTATTACTAAAGCGAGAAGCCAAAGGTATATGAAATGTGGAAGTAGGGAATGTATAGGCAGATATTTGGGAGATCATCATATATATTTTGGATAAAGATGATTATTAAATTCACACCAATGTTCATGCATGGAGGAGATTAAAAAAAGTGTTAATGTTCAAAATGTACAATCCTTACAAAGACAGTATGATCATGGTATTTTGACATAAATGATATATTACTGTAGCATCACTGCGATCTTCCATATTTGTACATTATAAAATAGATGATCGCAAGATATTGCAGAGAATAATATGATGATTTTATAAATAGACAATTTGTGATGAATTTAGTCACTTACGCAACTCTTTTTTTTTTTTTTTTTTTTTTTTTGCTAAATATCTTTTGGATGCAAATTCTATAAATATATATTAATATATATCAAATAGAGCTACTATATTATTTTAAATCCTCATTTGCAATGATTATTTCATTAAAAAGCAATTAATTTACATATATCTTATTTGAATAAGGAGTATGTTTTATAGTCTTTTAAATTTTCTTATTGTTTATTGTATCAATATATATATATATATATAATCCAATATAGAAACTTATCACTTTTATTTACAAAATTGACAATATTATTTTTCACAATTATATTGCTTTTATTTTTAAAATATTACAATTGATCCATTTTATGGATTACAATATTATAATTTTGTTTTTTTTTTCTTTTCTTCTTCTTTTTTTTAGAAGCAAAAAGAAAATAAGAGAGATGAATGAATTTCTATAATGCGAAAAAACTATTTGTATTTGAAAGAGTCAGAATCTACCATAAAGTTTATTCTGTCTCTTCTTTTTTTTCTCCTCCTCTGAAACTAAAAGCGGAAAAATACTACTGATTGATATATATGTAAAATATAAATGTAATATAATCTAGAGAGTGCCTTTACAATTTCTGTGTACACAACAGTATAAATATAAATATATATATATATACATATATATATATATATAATTATTACGTTATAAGAACACAGGATAGAGATAATATTTTTAAATTATACATTACAAAATACTTTTATGCACTTGACATGTTATAGAAGATTCTGTTAATGTTGGAACTTTTCATTCTGATGTATATTTTCGCATTTTTAAATTAAGGAATAATACTAGCATGAACTAAATATTTAAATATCAAAATGTAATAAATATATCTATTTCGTTAGTAAATAACGATAAAAACCACTTTATCTTCATGTTTCGCGATCTCTCTGTCCAGTACACAATTCTGTATTCGATAATAATTAATCGTTACTTATAATTATTTAAATAATCTGATTTGTGCTATGCAAAAGAGATGATTAAAAAACGATTACAGTAATTTTCAACTTTCCTGAATTGTTATTTGCTGTGAATGCCACAGATCTGTTTTGCTTCGTTATATATTAAACAATCAAATTCTGTTTCAATTTTTTTGAAATTTTTAATAATCATGCAATGGCTATATGAAAAACAATTTTTATTTTCTAATATGTTTGATATATAACAAAAAAGTACAATGTATTAATAGCATCATATAAATGAAAACAAATAGGACTTGTAATATAAGTTTCATTATTTCTTATGCATTACACATTTAATTAGAAAAGATATTCTTTATGGATTATTAATTATAAAATATTGATAATAATAATACACATGTATAATATATGTATATCTTGGTTGCTGCACCAATATTATAAAATATTGTACATAGATAATATATGTATTTTTACATATCACTGGCCTAAATAATAAAATCTTTAAACCCTACAATAAAGATAAAATGAACATTTACAAAAAATAATCTAATAAATAATGTAGACCAACAATATTCTCTCAAGTATTTTTGAAAATACTGTGATATTTTATTATTACTTAAAAAAAATTTCTAATATCAGATTTTTAATTAATGTTTCATAAATAGTTCAAATAAATAAGTTTATCTAATTAAATAAATTAAAAAGAAACAAACATATTTCATTTAAATAATATATAAATTAAGCAAAAGTATATATATATAGTTTATATTTTGAGCTTCTACTTGGACAAGTGTTTAAATGTATGCAACCAATAATTTAAAAAAAAGAGAATTCCTTTGTAGCGAGTACTCAAAATCATCCTATGTATTCTTTATAAAACACAAAATTTTAAATAACTTTCTTAAGTATTTTAGGTATAGAAATTAATTTAGTGTCTTTTTACAAAAAATTTACTATTTATTTCTAAAGTAATCATACATATATTATTATTCAAAATAATCTCAATTATTTTCAATGACTTTAGCCCATCTTTTGGGCAACTGCCGAATCCTTTTTGCTGATTTTTTCGTCTTCAAATTTTCTTAGCTCTCCGGAACATTCTCGACCAGAAAGATCAAAGTCGCCATTTCGAAATCTTTGATATAATTTTGTACAGATTTCCAGTGTTACTGCACCTTTTTCTTTAATTTAAAATCAAACAGTGCCATTTGAGTCTTGTTAAGACGGCGCTTTATTTAGTTCATTACCCTGAAATAGAATTGATACATATATATATATATTATCTTTGTATAATCACATCGAATGTTAAAAGCGATTAGAAAATAATTCAGTTGGTAGTGCATGTAAAAATACAATCAGAAATCATGAAAGTGTGTAAAAATCATCATAAGTAGTTATTTGATAGTTGAAATAGTATATTGAACATTTTTTTATACAACATACCTGTAAACATGCAGCTGCCTTTTTCAGGAAGCATTCTGAAAGAATAAGAATAACAAAATTTAATTAATAAGTTTTCAACTGCATTGTTAACGAAAATGCATAAAACATAATATTTCAGTTGGTAGTGCATGTATTAAATAATCATCAAAATCATGATATTGGTATGAGGTCATCACTAGAATATTATAAATATTTTTTTTTTTTTTTTTTTAATTTATTAAATTATATAAAAATTTTAGCTTACGTACATAATGATAGAATTTATATAAATTCTGATGTTTAACGATTAAGAATTGCATATGCATCGACAGTAGGGTCGAACACGTGGTTGAAATATTACTACTCATTTTCACTACCTTTTGAAAGAAAACAAAATTCGCGGTTTGTTCAAAATAAAATTTGTTATATTAATAATAATATATAATTATTAAAATATCGATGCATTTTTAGAAATATGTGATTATGTAAATATAAATAAAAAACTAATCTTCGTGGAACTTTCCATCAAGCTGCAGAGATGCTACACGAAAAATACAATATACTAGGAATGATGAGGTATCTTTAGAACATAATCTTTCTTTAGTGTTACAAAAGCGTTCTCTGGTGGTAAAAATTTCTATTAGTATACCTACCGGTAGAATGACGAATTAAAATTTAGTCTATTTATCAAAGGTTACCTTTAAACTAATTTAAATTGTCAATGACTGTTGATTACCTTGGACTTGGACACTCTGTAGAATAAAGTTCAAAAATAATTGAAGTTATTTTTAATATAGTTTTAATTCTAGTTTTTAATTATGGGTTCTGAAAATGTAAGTCCTGTTAAATATTTCCTCAGTGGAGGATTTGGTGGAATATGTACAGTGGTTGCTGGCCATCCCCTTGATACTATTAAAGTAAGATTACAATCTTAACCATATAAAATTAATACATTGTTTTATCTATTAATTATCTTTTCCTCTTTATATATATGACGTATATATATACTTTTTCTCTATTATAGGTATTTACTTGAATAAAATAATTTATACTATGTGATGTACTTATATTATTTATTATTTTTTAGGTACGTCTTCAAACTATGCCACTTGCTGGACCGAACGAAAAGCCTCTGTACACAGGTACATTTGATTGCGCTAGAAAAACTGTAACAAAAGAAGGAATACGTGGTTTATACAAGGGTATGCGCATTTTTTATATTATTAACATTATTATTAGATATAATAGTGTTTTATACATATGTTGTATACATATCTACATACCCTTAAACAGGTATAACTTAAAAATTACTTAGGTATGGGAGCGCCATTAGTTGGAGTGGCACCTATATTTGCTATGAGTTTTTTGGGTTATGGTGTTGGGAAAAAATTACAACAGAAGAGTCCAGATGATAAACTGACCATACCACAATTATTTTATGCCGGTGCATTTAGTGGAATATTTACAACTGTTATCATGGCACCTGGTGAACGGATAAAGTGTCTTTTACAAATACAACATGCAGATGCAGAGAAGAAATATAAAGGACCCCTTGATTGTGCCAAACAACTTTATCGAGAAGGAGGCCTTAGGAGTATTTATAAGGGTACATGTGCTACCCTTTTGAGAGGTTTGTTAATATGATAAATTACATTAATTATATTTGTACAGCGTATATAACTGCTTTAGCAGATATGTGTATCACACATTTTTACATAAAAGTTTTAATCAAACAATTGTTAAAGTAGATATTAAATATCATATTCGATGTACTTTTTTTTTAGTTCATCCAAATTTAGAATGTTTACCATAAATTAGATGCAAGTAAGATAGATTTGCTAACTTATAGCATTATCATTTTCATAATTTAATACTTTTGGCATTCCGTGTATACGTCTTCGCCTTATTTTTTTACATTGCAAACCACCCTTACGCAGAGCGTGGAAAACTCCCCAATTTTGTAGTCTCTTAGGTGTGAAACAACGTGGTGCTGTTTCTCTAATTCTATTCACCTGTTAAATAGACGAATTATGTGTTATAAATAGTTTAATTCGATAAATAATATTGTATGATTTTTACATACCAAATGTGGATTCCAAGTAGCCATAGCACACGTACAATCCCATGGATTACCATCCAGTTTGATATTTTGTACTCGAGATGGTTTATTTACTGTCCATAAGATTTTAAAAAAATCCCATGGTAATGTAGTTAATTTATTTTTCGTTAGAATAATTTCCTTCAATTCTTTTTGATATTGTGTACTGAATAATCCAGGTGGTATAAATTCCAAATCGTTATTAGATAAATCTATAAGTTTAACTTTTTCTAAACCATAAAACGCATCCATAGATATATGCTGAATGTGACAATAACTTAAATCTAAATCTATCAATCTTCCAAGATCTGAAAATGCATCGAAATCTACATTCGAAACATTTCCACGTATTTTTAAATATGCTAACGATGGCATTCCTTGCAAGATGAAACGTTCTAACAATGGTATTTCTACGTTATACAAATGTAATATCTTCAATTGCAGTAATCCTAATAGAGAGTTTCTTTGCAATTTTAATTTTGAACCTGTGCCTCCAAGATATAACTGTTTCGTTGTGTTCATAATTTCAAATGTACTGAAAAAAACGCTTGCATTATAATAAATTATCTAATTATTTACATATATATCTTGAAATGAAAATTACCTTGGAAATACAGAATCCATTGGATTTTCCCCAAAATCAGCCATCGTAAGTGCAGGGAATGGAGGAAAAGATAATTCAGATAAAAATGTTAGATTATTTCCAGTTAAATCTAATTGTTTCAACATCAATAAGCCTGCCAAATCTACGCTTTTTAACGTTAGCAATTGATTACTTGCTAAGGATAATAATTTTAGATTTGGTGTTCCATAAAAACAAAATTCTGGGATAAATCTGAGATTATTTTTTTCCAACGAAAGATAGAGAAGACTATCAAGGCCATCAAACATGTGCCAAGATATGTCTTTAAGCGCGCATTCGTATACCCTCAAATGTGTAAGGGCACGGAGTCCAGTGAAAAGGCCAGCATTTTCTCTGTAACCATCCATTTCTTGTTTGTAAATATCGTATGGAAGTATTTCTTTATCGTCACTTTCTCTACTATTTTGCTGACTCAGAAAAATTAATCGATGTCCTTTATGTTCATTAGTAGCACTTGTGACTACTTGCTCCGTAGAAAGTTTTTCATCGTTAGGTAAATTCATTGGTTTGATCACAAGATTTGCTTTATTCTTACTAGTTGTATTTAGGCTTGTTAATCTCACACGTTCTAAGTTCAAATACAGTAATGTCATTCCCAGTGGAAATAAAGCATCGCGTGCTAAAACTATACCACCTTTGGATTCATGTATATTTACATCTTTTACAGAAGGGTCATCATAGTCTATACCTTCAATAGTTAGAGACAGTAATTCAGTGAAACGTTGAAATGTTGTTGCTTTTAAAAAAATTTCTGCATCTCCTCTACCTGACCTAAGTATAGTGAGAACCTGCAATTATAAAGAAATATTTTTTTTATTCATTTTTGTTTTTATTATTACATTCTGTTATTGTTAATTCAATATTTGATCAATTGTTACCTGTATATCCGAAGGAAGCATACCCAAAAGTTTTTCATGTTCCTCTGCTACTACACACGTTGCAACTTTTAACAATTCATCACCTATGTGATTATTATAAAAGCTATAATCAGTATCATCCACTGTTGGGGTCTGTTAAACAGAAATTTATTAATGAAAAAGGAAAAACACTTCACAGTTGTGCTTCTTACATTACTCCTCTTTCTTGGTATAGTCCATTGATGTAGCGGCAGATCAGAAAATTTCTGTATTTCACAAGAACATCCTTGAGGACATTGCATCTCCCAAATATCACCGATATCTATTATTTGTCCCATACACTGTATCTGAATAATTAATTTCATGAATAATGAATAACACTTATATATTATTAGTTATATAGGAATAATTTTTATTAACATGACAAGGATGTATCGATTTAGATGTTCCTAATTAATTTAAATGTTATAAATTTGAGGATTAACAAATTTAATACTTAAATATATTTCTTAGATTTAAATGAAAGTTAAGTTATACTAAAATTTCTAATTTGTACCAATTATATAGAATTATGTACCCAAAAGAAAATGAAGAAATAAAGTAACGCAATTGCCATAATTATAAAAATTTTTCAATGCAGCACTATTTCTAAACCAAGTAACAGTCTGCTGTTCCAAAGGAAACTGAAATTTGTAAACTGTTATCTATCTTCCTCGATACCTCCTATCAAACAGGATGCGTTCTATCTATCCACCCACATACATTATATCCACTGTTATTAATTGTATGTAATATTTACGGACTGTTTCTGATTAGGAGAAATATTTTGAAACCTCTAATCAATATATTTTAATTACTAATATTATTACAGATGTTCCTGCAAGCGGAATGTATTTTATGACATATGAAACTCTACAAAGGTGGTTGACACCGGAGGGAGGAAAACTAGGTTTACTATCAACTATATTAGCAGGTGGTTTTGCCGGTGTTGCCAATTGGGTAGTTGGTATTCCACCAGATGTTTTAAAAAGTCGATTGCAAGCAGGTATGCATTTTTTAATAAACTATATTTCTGATCATTTTAGTTTTATTTATAAATTCGTATAAAATCAATTTGAGATTCTATACAATTAACAATTTTATAGCACCCGAAGGCACGTATACAAAAGGTATTCGCGAGGTGTTCGCGCGTTTGTTAAAAGAGGAAGGACCGAGAGCACTTTATAAAGGGTGCACACCCGTTATGTTACGTGCTTTTCCCGCAAATGCGGCATGTTTTCTAGGATTTGAAGCAGCTATGAATGTTTTAAATTGGGTGGCACCCAATTTATAAGATTCGATATATAATTTTTATACAAAATTATGCAATCTCATAAGCAGTACTAACAAAGTTAACAAATTAAACTTGTCTCATTTGTTGAACGATTATTGTTACTATAGTAGTGTAACTTTTAAGTATATGGTTTAATTGAAATGTTGCACTTTTAAAAAAACTATTTCTTTTTTTGTATATTAAATGTTTATAATGGTTTTCAAGATATATATATTACTATTTAACAAAGAAAAATCTTTCACGAAAATTAAATAATATCGTAGTTTATAAAAGAAACATAACATATCAATGAGATAATATTAAGGATATAAATCTTTTCTATCTACAACACTGCCATATATATATTATAAGATAACAAACTATTAATCCTATATTTTTTGAGTAAACGGTAAAAAAGTTAAATTCATTTTTGTATGTAAGAATGTATATTTGTATAATAATTTGTTAAATCAATATTTTGCCGAAGAAAATAATTTGATCCTTAGATGAACATGTTTTCTTTTAATTTAAAAGAAACAAGAAATAGAGATTAATATAATCTTTGATATATATATATTAATAAAGTAAACATATCAATTATTTAGGTTTTAGATATTATAATCTATTTTTATAGAAAAGATATATAGTACAAAGTGTTATTTATAAACTTTGTTATTTAAAATAGTAATGTATTGTACTGCTTTGTTTCATATATGTATATATCTTTATATACACAGATTTGTAATTAAATTTAATATTATAAAGCTCTATTTTGTTTATTTCATATATTAAGATGATTGTTAATTGTTTACAATATATACAACTAAAGTAATTTACTACAATATATCATATGATCTTAAAATATTAAATAAAATAAGAGATAAAAGATATTATTCTCTCCATATAATAATTCTGTAAAATTTCATATTATCTATGTAATATTTTTCTATATATATTATTATATCATTTAATTATTCTTCCCAGTCATCTGTGTCAGCTTGAGAATCATATTCGCTTGTAGCAGAATTTCTATCGGAAGCGTAGTTTTCACTCGACTTAGGTGGTGGTGGTGGTATCGAACTAGACATTCTCTCTAATGCCCCTGTTGCAGAGCCCGCAATACCTTTTCTTCTTAAAGCCAATTTAGCATGAAGATCTGCCATTAGGTCTCCACCTACCGAAGCTGATGACCAACGATTTTCCTTCTTATCAATCGGCACTGTGTGCCTCAATTTTGCTCTTCCAATTCCACCCGCATCACGTATCGCTGCCATCAAATCTGAGTGGTCATCTTTACTTATACTTTTTTTATTAGCTTGAGTGGATCTTTTTTCATTCTGCTTTTGCGAACTTTCATCTTTAGATGGCTTTTCTGTTGATGATGTAGATGGTGATGTTGAAGTTGGCGGTGGAGGCGGAGGCGGAGGTGGTGGAGGAGGAGGAGGAGGAGGCGGTGGTGGCGGAGGTGGTGGTGGTGGTGGTGGCATAGCCGATGGTGGTTGTATCGTCTTAGAGTTCGTTTCATTTGGTTCAGCATTATTAATATTTGCATGTGAAGTAATAGTTGCATTTACTGTTGATGACTTAGATTCAATTTTGGCCGATGGATTGTTCACAGTCAAATTGGGTAGATTAGAAACATTAGATTCGTTTGTATTTTGTGACCCAGTTTCTTCAATTAAAGGTGGCAAATCTAGTCGAACCGTAGGAGTAACAACAGCAGAAGATGGAGCGATAGGACTTTGTGAGCTCAAGTCTAAGTCGAATTTTTCATTATCCACAATCCCTGGTAAATCTGGTAGCATGAGTGGTACATTCATTTGTGGAACCTGGAAATATATATATATAAATAGATTAGAATATTTGTAAATTAATAAGGATATACAGATTTAAATATGTTACTATTACCTCTCCAAGCACTGGCGTATAAAGATAACCAGATGGCAAATCCATGTCTGACGAATGCCACGAATGTACGATTGAATCGGGTGCATCTTCTATTTGTTTTTTATCTGTAGACTTATTAGATGATAAAGCTTTTCTGTACGTGTTATTTACATTATCGAATAGTAGAAGTGCACTAACAGACGAAGGTAAAGACGGTACATATTGACGCGCATTCATATCGTTTTCTGCGTGTTCGTTATTTTTATATCTAACGTAGTAAAACTGCAACTTTTCTTGCAGATTGACATTCATTGCATACTGGCTATCTTCGGTATTCATACTAGTAGGTAGATGTGTTTCGTGCCTGCCCTTTGTTGGTATTGAATACTTGTAAATATTTGGTGTATTACTAATATTATCACGTTGCAACGGTATAGCCATTTTATATTCATTGTATGTATGATTAGCAGGATATTTAGCAGCAGAATATATTTTGATAGCCTTTAAATTTAAATTAGATTGCAAGTAGTGCAATTGATTTTCTAATTTTATAGCTCTATTTCTTATATCTGAAAGTCTGTAAAGAGTAAATAGTATCTAATGAAATAAATTAAATTTGATAAGAATTTGTTGCTACAAGAAACAATGCGTGAAAGATACCTTTGAGAATTTTCAGTAAGCCTCTTTTCTATGCAATTAAATATATATAATACCGCAGAATCTAAATTATCTAATGCCTCAGTTATCTGAACTATTGTTTCTTCGTGCCTCAAATTATTAGATATAATCCCTAAAAATAATATAACAATTAAGTACATGTTCATAATAATTTGATTTAGTAAAAAGTAGATAATGCAATAAATAGATTACCGATTTCTATATGTTTCGGCATGTTGTAATAGATTTCTATAAAATTGCATTAAATACATGAACAATGCATCCAGTTAGGTTAAGGTCAGTTTTGACAAGTTACTGCTACTATGGTAAAGTAGAGTTTCAGCGAGTAATTAGTTTCAAAGTTCTACTGAAAGATGACAGTAACAAGCACTTACCAACCGAGCGCTCGGTTGGTAATACCGATAATTTAAAATTTAAAAAATGAAATCTCAAAAATATTCATCTACTCTATCAAATGAAATAAATAAAAATGACAGAAACTCGTTGCTAATTACAATTAAAAATGAAATAGTTCGTAAAATTATTGAAGCCAAAACCTTGTTTTAAATACCAAAAATAAAAAGAAAGTATTAAAAAAATGGAAGAATAAAAATGAGAAGGATGAAAATAAATGTCTGTAGGAAAACAAAGAGTCAGACGAACGACAGGATGCAGGATAATGGAGATTATTCTTAGCTAGTTTTGCAAGTAGTAAAACACTTGACCTTGGTTGGAGTGATACGGTCAACGATTCGCCACCTTCTAACCTGAGGAACTTACTCACATAGGTAGGATGAACAACGAAGATACATTTTTTCTCGTTGCAGACCCACGTCATCATTCGTGTATTTGCACATTTTTCATGACTTGATTAACACCGTAGGTCGAGGATATTCGTCGTGTATATGTATATCGATGAAAACATTTTCACGACGTAAAAAAAAGCTATATATACATATATGCATCATTGCAATACGCATCGCGGGTTTTCCCCTTCGAATCTTGAAAGACACAAAATTTTAATTAAAATAGAATAGTTCACTTTTATGAATTATAACTTTGTACATAAATAATTTTATAGGCGTCCTTGATATATATCTGGAAATAAAATTTTGATTAAATCGTACAACGATCACTTTCTATAAATAATTAATATCTTTCATGATGCACACAAGAATTTTTTTTCCTATTCGCATAATTACGAATTACAAATATTGCGACACAATTACAACACGAATTTTCTTTTCTTCTTTCTCTGAGAATTCATGAACATTTCCATCGTGAACTTTTAAAAGTACAATTTCATCTGTGCAAAATAAGAAGATAGAGATAATAAAAAGAAAATAAAAAACCAAACGCATAATTCGAAGTAAGTTTCGGAATGAAAATTTTTCAAATTTGAGATACGTAGATCGATTTTAAAAATTGTGTACGTTAATCGGTTTTACAATCGCGTGCATCCTTATAGGGAAAGATAGATACGTATTCGGCATTTTTATGAGTGTTTCTCCATGCAAAATACTGGTTCTTTTCGCTCGCGTATGTGTATCACATATACAAAAAGATACAGATGCATCGTATGCACGAATGCAACAGGACAATAGTCGGGGAAGTCTCGAAGAGAACATGTACTAGGTATATAAAGCCTGAGGAAACCAGACTGGATATCAGTCTTCAACATGTTGCGTCCACTGCATTTCGTAAGTGATTTCTTCTAAACATCTTCAAAGTATTTCATTTGATTTCGTTTTTTTAAGCGAAATTCATTTCCCGAAGTATATTTTTATTGTTTTTCTTTTTGTTTTTATTTTTTCGTACAAAGATTTCGAAGGCATTTTGTCGCTAATGACCAAAGAGTACGTCAACTAATTAGTTGACTGGTACTAATCCTTCGCACTTCGATGATTGCCTTCAGGTGTTGCTTTTGTTGGCGATAGCCTTTGTGGTGTCTGTGCCGGTGCCAGACCAAGTAGCCGAGAACATACCGAGTAACATAGAGGAGAGAGCACAAGCGAATGATTTAGAAGCTGACGCTAGCTATTGGGGGTGAGTTTTACAAAAAAAGATATAATCTCTTTAATAAAAATCATCCTTCAAAAAGAAATCTCATTTAAGTTTTAATATATAAAAATTACTTTACATGTTTGTATGGGTGCTCATATATACGCAAATGTTTTCGTATGCGACATTTGTTATCTGAATTTACGTGATTTGTCTGGCATACTAACATCGAAGTAAACAGTTGCATTTCACGTGACGAGTATACATTCAAACGCATTTGCATTGAATTTTATTCGAAAAGGGTACATTGACTCGATCATTTTTTAAATACGATCATTATAATATTGTATAAAAATTATTCTACGTGTATACTTCGAAATTATTTTGTTAAAATAAAAGAGAGAGATAGAAATATGCGTTACTGATGAAATTATTAATTATATATTATTGCAGATACGCAAGACCATGGAGATATGGTTGGGGTGGCGGATTGTACGGGAGAGGATGGGGTTGGGGTGGCAGAGGCTGGGGTGGCGGATGGTACGGAAGAGGATGGGGTGGCAGAGGTTGGGGATGGTGGTAAAATCAGATGATTAGCAACCATTCTGGATCCGACGACGGAATTTACAATATTATAATATATGTTTATAAAAAGAAATAGCAAAGCGAACGATATGTATTATTAAGAAACGTCCATGTCTTCTTTAATTAGAAAATGTGAAAAGAACAACAACGAAAAATAACTTATAAAAAGAGAATAAAAATTATGAAAGATTGAAAGATGAAAACTTTACTATGACGATTTCCAATGACATTTTATTTATAGATAATCATCCTTAAAACGATTTCCTTCAAATATTAAATTCGCTAATGAATATTCTAATGAAACGTTGTCACAATAGTTTCAAGAATCAAATCAAATAAAGATTCTGACTCAACGCGTGCATACTCTAACACAACGTATATGTGAACGTAAGCGTATATATAATATTTTTTTCAAGTTTTTTAGATTTTTTGTTAGTTTGTTAACCCTTTCGTTACTAGCAATCCCTATATGGGTAGTTCATGCAACGATACGATATGTATGAGTATGATACGTATGTTCTAAGAAAAGGGTTAATCCCAGATTGTAGTCCTTGCAATCTGTTCAAGAGATATCCAACAAATTGAATTAGTAGTTATGGGAAGCATGTAGTTGCCATTCCAAGTGGAGTAGCAATGTTTTTAAACATAGAACATAATATTATATTAATAACGTTACCATCTTGACACACGTCATTGTATCAACAAATTCAGCGATCGAATAAATTGGCATTGGCAATCACAAGCAGGTGAATACGATATGGAAATAACTCGAAGGTCTAAGAAAAAGTGGATAACGAGTGGGTACGGAGGTTGAATTTATAAGCTCGTACATTAGAAAACATATTATGACAACGTCTTGACGTATTACACGGATCCAAAGATGGATCATTTTGGTTTACCAGGTTAATTATCGCGTTCGTCGAGCGTCATTGTACGATTAGCGTGCTCTCCTTTGACGTCATTGTTACATATAAATACTCAATAGCTCTTCTTTTCCCTCATAAACTTATCGTGAAGCTAGTACGACGGATCTACTACTGAAACTATCGATACTTATACCTTATCATTAGTTCTTGCTAAGAAACAACTACGAAGGTTTGAAAGAAAATAGAAGATCAATTGGAATTCATCGAAAATGGTAAGAATAAACACATTTGATTTGAAAAGGGAAAATAAAATGTAAATAAAGCAAAATATTGCATCGCATATGTCGTCAAGATGAATTGGAATATTTTCTTTGAAAAAAATTATGATAGAATGAAGAACCATTTGGTTATTTTTCTTTTTTGTATTTCCAGGTTGCTACCAAAGTTTTCGTATTTGCGTATTTCCTCGCTGTTAGCTGCTGCTACGCGTCTCCGATCAACAGAGCATCAATCATCCAACCGGTGATTATTGTTCCAACTATTCTAGATCAGGAGACAAATTCTGATGTGTTCCTTAACGATGAAGGAAAAGAAGAAGTGATTGTACCCTCGGTACTTCTCATTCTCGATGATTACTCGAACGATTCAGAAAACTTGTTCTCAAAGGAAATCATTGATTCGGGTTCAAGGAAAATCGAGAAACGCGACGTGATCGAAGAATCTACGAAAGATGATCTCGAAACTGCAGCTGGTACCAATGTTCTTCGACCTCTTTTCGTTTATCGTCAACAACTCGCTTACAGGCAACGTCTAAGGGAAGCTACTCGTCGTGGAAATCGTTTTTGAATCGAATTTAAGCTAAGTTTTGAAACATCTGAAATGACGAGGACACGATTCAAATAGATCTGATTTATTTAGATCATGAATTATTGATCAAAAGCCTAATCGTGGAAAATAATCGATTACGATGAAAGTACTTCTTCAATCGAATGGCTTACCAAAGAATGAACAAGACAAGGAACGATCGAAATAAGTTCTGCGAAGGAAACGATGATTAATTTATTAGAAAATATAGAGGAAGGATATTCGAGGATTTCGGATGATAAGAAATGATAATTGATTTGGTGAAATGATCATTCTGCTTTTACGAGTGCTAGTAAATAACGAGGATTAATAAAAGTTCATCTCGCGAAGTGTTCAACGAGGTGATTGGAAAGAAATATCGACTGAGAATAATCATGAAAATGTTTCCTACAAAAAAAAACAAAAAAGATTAGAATTGTAAGCATTTAATATTTAGAAAATAAGATGCTGATACCAAAGTTAGAATAATTTCAGTGTTATAAGTCTTGCAGTCATATTCTTGACAGATTCGAGTACTTATGACTATTGTGATACGATTATGTTATTAAATATAAGTTAGTTTAATAAACAATATTTCAAAATAAAGATATTACTCTTTTGCGTGATCAAATATATCTTTTATTTTTATTTGTTCCATACATAAATATATTCCATTAAACGACAAATATAAGAATTAAACTTATAGAATATTAGTCGTTGACGACGTTGTTATCTTCCAGAAAATATCGGATATTTAAGGAACCTGCGATATGATTCTTGTTTATAAGCTGGTATCTGTTCATCTACCTGCCAGTCATGACGTCGATACCAGTAAGGTGCAGAATAACGTCTATCTTCCTCCGTTTGAAGATCTTCTTCGACGTTCGAAGATCGTCCATTCTTGACGTTGCTCAAATCTGTCGACCAGGTTGATCCTTTATTACTGACGTCACGATTCAAACGAGCAACTATCAGACTTGGATCAAAGAGAATATCCTGAAAGGAATCAACGGTGTCATCATCCTTTCCACTTGTTTCTATTGTCGTTGTATTTTCAGTTTTAGCATCGATGGAACTTGATGTTGTAGACGTGTTTGTTTTCAAATCTTGGCCTCCAACTCGATGATTGATATCCAACAAGAATAGAAGACCAATGGCAAGAATAATCCAAGTCATTTTTAATGATTTTTCTATCTATTCGTATTCGTTACAGTTATTTGTATCGACTAACACGTTTCACCGATACCATGCTTGCTTTTATACTCGAGAACGTACTATTCTTTACTAAGTTGATGATTGCTAAACATTTTAAGGTTTTGGTGGCGTCGTTAACCGTGCGCTAAGTGACGAAGCGTTATGTTCGAAGAATCAACGTTCGAGATAAAGTTTACAAAGAGTTCACATTTTTTATTCTTTTTTTTTGTCAACAAAAAGATACCCACGGAACAAAACAGTAAGTTAATTTAATCAAGAAGCAGTTAAGATGATCTTGAATAACGTGGACTTGTTAATTTTGTCGATGTAGTAAGAATTAACAATTGGATCGTTTGAAGTTTAGAAAATTGATTATTTTCAAAGTCACATATATATATTAATGAGCACTAAGGACTAATAACAATTTAAGATGTATTTTTTAATACGACGAAAAATGTTAGAAATGGTCAAATAAAAATATACAATATTTTTTAACAAAGTAGATCTTCAAGGAAGTCATTTCTATTGCGTATCAAAAGTTTTCTTCGGCAAAGGTAGATCATCGATGGATCGTACGAACAAACAGTACACACGTCACTTAGCAAAGTGGCGATAATTGTTTCGGTACCTTATATAAAACCCGAACTGACCGTTATAAGAGACTCAGAGGTATCACAACTTTTGGAGTCGACTTAGAATCGAACGAATTCTCTACGAGATGAAGTACTTGTCCTCGGTACGTTGACTACCTGTGCTTTTCTACCTGTTAATAAATAACAACGTCGATTAGTATTTATTCGCAAAACGATCGATTTCAGAAACCTGTACAAATTTTAATATCATAATTAAAGTGTTGGCAAATTTGTTATTGGAAAAATTCAATTCTCCTAAATATCCTTTAATAAAAATTCTTAAAAAAAAAAAGATTATATTCGATAACAAACAAGAGTGATATCATATTAAATATCAGTGCGCAATAATATGCAAGAACATATTTCTGAGATCGATGAGAGCTCGTTCATTCATTGCTACGTTTTGATGCTTCAGTTTAAGTGGACACTTCTGTTTCCTGGTCTGACATTGATTCTTGGAGGAGGAAGTGTTTACGCCAAGCCTTTGAATAGCGAAGATGTCGAGAGCCTGCTTCCTGCAACCCCGCAAACCACGAATGAAACAGTGGCTGCCATTATTCAGGACCCAGTTGTGAAAAATGCAGTTCAATATGCAGTCGGTAATGGATCTTTATCAGGGTTGGTTGTTAAAAAGCACGTTGTCATTATACCTGCTAATGCACCTGATCAGGTTAGTCAAATAAATAATATATTTTAATAATGACTTTTTATTTATTATTAATCCTTTTGTTTTTTTTTTTTTTTTTTAGATACTTTCCCATAGACAGCAAATTCTCGTAGCACCTACGTCGCACTTGGAAGACATACGGAAAAATATCACTGAAGACCTTCAAACGGAAACTGAATTACCGGAAGATAATCGATCGGAAGAGTTAGTATTAACGTATCAGCCAATGATCGAGGATGATGCAAATGAGGTTTGTATAAGTTGGAGGCAAACGACGATATAAAGCTGGAACGTTTAATTTCTATTCATGGATTTATTATAATATTTATCTATAGGAATTCGATTCCGAGAATAAACTTTGAACATACGAAGCAACGGAAAGAGCATCTGCTTTTATACGTAATCACTTTATATTAAAAAAATTATTCAATGTTCTAGGAAAGTGAAAGTACTTGGTACTTGGAAAATCACGATACTACGTTGTCCAATGATATCGTAAAAGATCCGAACGATCATCACGATAAATTGAAAGACATTTTACCAAGTATCAAACCTCAAGTCGAATTACCGGAAGGTACGGTAACGCAAAAGATAAATGTATCAAAGATCGCCGATAAGGATATACCTGTACCGGTAGTTGCAGTACTCGATCCTTCGAAAGAAACAAACGATAAGATCGAGAGTTCGATCGTAGCTCTGCTACCGAATATCAATCCGAGCACTGTGAACGATCAATTGAATTATTTGGAAGCTAATCGGAAGGAAATTCAAAGAGATGTGCAACGATACATCGACGAGTCTTCTTTGAGTATAGATCCGGAAATTTGGAAACGTTCTGTGGAGGGTGAACCTGAGGTAACAAAATATGAATGATTGAAAAAGAGTTTTTTTTAAAGATTACAAAACAGGAATGGACATACGAAGAAGGAATAACATTCAGAGTCATTTTCATTTATAATAATCTTTATTGTTTCAATGACAGATCGGATCTTCTTCTACGACCTACGATTCACAGATTCAAAATGTAGATTATTTAGAAACCGAGAAATACAATTTACCAACGATCATTCTCGTTCCACGAGATGTCCAGTTGCCGTATATCTGGAAATCGAAAGATAATCAAAATAATCCTTCGAAGGATAACGAGGAGAATATGAGCACCGCAGAGGATATTGTTTTTAGACCGTTGTTTAGATTTCGACAGGAAGCACGTCGTAGGTCCGATGCTTATAGCAATCGAGGATACAATTCCTATCAAAATTATAATTCATATTCTAGACGTCGATACAGACCACGATATTCCTATGATTATTATTAATTATTAATTATTAACGAGAAATAAATTCGATTATTCGATCGCGTTATGTAATCGTATGGAAATATTGACATACTTATAATAATTATTATTATTGATTATCTTCATCTCTAATTTATGACGTTACTTTAATAAATTGTATCTTAATGAAATATCGTAAACACCTACATTCCTGCATTCGTATCAATTTTATCTTTCTCTCTCTCTCTCTCTCTCTCTCTCTCTCTCTCTCTCTCTCTCTCTCTCACTTTCTCTCACTTTCTTTCTCTTTCTTTTCCTTTTTCTTTCTTACGTAGAAATGCATCCGAGATAATATGTAATCAAAACTTTTAATTAATATTTCACGTTTTTAATACGTCATCCGAACGATTAGTCATTGACGAATATAACTAATCGCGACTAATCTGCGTAGACTTTAAACGATATTTATACTGTTCTAATTGTGCGTGACAAAGTGTTTAGCATATTAAAAGATACGAGGGATTTCGAGATAGTCTTGGTTGTTTACGTTATGAACATTCATCTACTTACTATACTGTCGAGATAAACGAATTCGTTTAAATACCGAATGAAAATTGTTTTAATATCATTCAGCTTCCATTACCAAATTATGTAATCGTAAAACCCGGAGTAACGTTTGATCGTAAAATCGTTCTGTGGAAAGATACTTTGATGAAACACTAATTAGATCACGCTTTTCAAAGAAATACCTTGATTCTCTTAATGTTAGTTTCAGGATTTCTCATCTTACCTATGTTTTTAAATAGATGATTCACGAGTTTGGAAAATTTGTGATCAAAATAAGCCGAAAAAAAATGACGTCTTTTCTTCTTCCTATTATTTTAATGATACCATTGTCTACGATAAATCATAGATCATTATACTTGCATGTCTTATCCTTTTCTTATATTTCAATGATAATTAAATAACGAAGCGTATCTACGGCAAATAGGAAAAGAAAATAAATAAAAAAACACGTGCATAATCATGCCCAATCATGGAATGATTAGAAATCTAGTTAGTGTGGCGCCGCTAATGCCTGCAGGGAAAATGATTAGTCATTTGTACGTATTCTCGGTCATCGAAATGTGAATGAGCGAGGATACGAGTAAGCTTGGAACAATGGACCTTCTGTTCAGAAATCTACTACGTGCTTTTACATTTATGTGTAAGAACCGATGAATAGGTATTTAACACTTACGTTTACTCGGAATTATGCACCACGATATTTCAGGTGTACGCCAAAAACAAAGTTCGATTAACTCTTTACCCTTAATTACGAAATACGACTAATATGTAAACGAAATTTCGATCAGAGACGAATGAAAAAAATAAAAGAGAGAAAGTGAAATTAGAGATTTACGTCGTTCGATAAAAGTGTGTCATTTTTTATTACATATTTTCAATAAATTAAAGGGTCAACGGTATAAATTTCAATAGCACTTTCATCTGCGAGTTTTATCTTTCGAATTCGTGTCTTTTTATCTCTTTTTATTTATTTTCTTACAAGTGTATATCCTTACCAGTTTGTGAGTCATCAAAGAAGGTGGAAGGTTTTCAAAGCAGCGGGATTTGTACCAGGAATGAAACTATTCCCCCTCTGCAACTGAATCTGCATACCAACATACACACGTTGCTATGAGAATAGCTTAATCGTATTCTTCAAGATCACACAAACGCGATTATATATAAGCATCGATCTCTCGATATTTGTTCTCAATCGTTGTTTAAAAGTCTCCGACGTAAGTACTCTCTCTCGTGATAAGAAAATAACATATAATTTTATTTAATCAACAAGAGATAAGCGGAAAAAGAGCTTTCCATAATTTGCAATCATGGTAAGTAACGCAATTCTAATTAGATGTTTTGTTTTCTTCATTTTTAAATTCCTTTCGTTTGTATCAAATATCACGTTCATATTTCCAATGGAAAATATATTGATTATTAATATTATTTCTATAGAAATTGTTCTTAATACTTTATACAACTACGATATTGGCATGGAGTACAGCAGAATCATTAAACGATTCTTCCGAATATTCTAAAATCCGTGTTAGATCGGACAACGTTAACGAAGAAACACAATTATTAAGAAGACATTGGAATGATCAAGCTAATATCAAACGACCCCATATCAATCGTAAAACTGGATTCGATGGAAAGGTTCGAAAAATCAATATCGAACCGAACGAGGATGGCCCAGGAATTAGAGCTTATGGTTTGCCGAGGAAAAATGTAGAAGATAATGGTTTAATCGAGAGAATTAATCCCGCGGAATCCGAGAGAGGCGAGGATCGATCGCGAAATGCTCGAGTTGTATGTGTTGTTTGTTTTATGAATAAATTTGTATCGGTCGTTAAACATTTCAAATACTAAATTAAAAATGATTTCTAATATATTATATATATTTTAGGTTGAAGCATACGGTATGTCTAAAAAGCAATTAGAAAACAACGGTCAAATCGAAAAGTTGCCACCCTTAGTTATTGCAAAAAGCGAAGAACCAAAGGAACATTCGTTCGGAAGAATTCCAAGATCGATTTCTGAGGAAAATAAAAACGAATCGTATGATCTCGAGGCCCAAAATTCGAAAGTCTTCAGACCACTTTTTGTCTACAGGCAACAAGTGGCAAGGAGACAAATGCTAAGGAACCAAAAGGATTTCTATCGTCCATCATCTTCGCAAAGAGATTACAAATTGTGGGACCGTCATAATATTGTTTATTGATCCGATTAGATCCTTACAAAATGTTATTTCTTTTTTATACGTACGCGTTCGATCGAAGAAATTGAACGAATTTTTTTTAATACATTCTACCAAAAATTAACTATTAGATACCGCTAAACTAGTTTTATAAGAATATGATTTTATTCTAGTATAGTTTAAATGCAAAAAGTTATATTGTGCAAATGAATAAAAGAAATTATCAACAAAAAAAAAAAAAGAAAAAGAAAGAAAACATAAGAAATATATTCGTAGCATATGCCACACACATTCGATATAGACAAATGAATTTATTCGACGTGCGATATAAAATATCCTGTTGCGGTTTGAAAAAATGTTGGTGGTTTTGATATTTCAACGGTAAGACGATAAAGCGTCTTAAAAATTAAACGTTTGTTTAGGGCGACGATGAAGACGACGATACGATTTGTTAACGTTGTAAATTTTTGTATGAATTCTATTAAGATTATTCCCGAAGAACGTTTAGATTTTCGAAATAACCAATGTGTCGTAAAATCGTTGTCATGCCGATGAAAATTAATCGTTTTTCTGATCGTAATAAAATAACGGATAAAAATTACGAGTCTTTTCCGCTTGAAAATTATACGGAAAAAGAAACTAAAAGGTACGTAGGAAATGTTCATAAATTTGTTTTTATAGATTTCTAATCGTCTTTCGATTAAAGCACGAAAAATGCCCCGGAATACTTTCAATTGATACGAAACAGAATCATACGTATAGTTTTGGATGGATTCTTAATGATTGCTATACTACCCTACGTTTTGTATCAATGGGCTTCCAGAAATGAACGATCAGTTATTATTCTCAAAGTGATTGTTGAAGTAAAATTATCATATTACTTTGTATTTAAATGTTTGTTTTATTTCTTTCTTTAAGAAATAGACGAAAGAAAAAAAACGTTCGATATTTATTTTTCAGATTATATTAGAATTAATAATGTGGTTTATATTTGCCGGTGTATCCATGCTTGTAACAGCGGCGTTTTTGATGGAAGAGCTTTATTTTAACAAAAATGACTGCAACAATTTTAAAGAATCTATCGAAATTTCGAAAAAGAAGGAACAACTTGAAAATTGTATTTCATAATTTAATTGCATACATCAAAGATGTTAATCGTGCTCAAATTAATTATTTTTCTACGAAAATTATTTCAAAGATCTACGAAAATATTCTCTTTTATGATTTAATATTTATGGTTGTGAAAATAACAGTTTAATAATGAAATTTCGACACGAATGTATCGTCTGTTTTGAAGTAGAACATTTGAGAAAGTTAGATTATTGAGAAATCGAATAAATATGTACATATGTATATGAATCAGTTTTTAATAATTTGTTGTATGCAATCAAAGTACTTGATATCGATGTTACAATTTTTATATATATGTATCGTGCTTGTATTTGTTTTACATTTCGCGTAGTTTATCAATTACAGTATTTAATTATTTATTTTGATAAAATTGTCTCATGTGAACACTACTCTCGAAAAGTAATGCGCACATTTAAAAGACTTCTATTGACCTTTCCTATGCTAATACTTTTACGAATGAAATCAAGAAAATGCATATACGAATAAAGTTTATCAAATGTGAAAGATTTTTTAGACGTTTTATTTTCTTAGAGATATAAATATATAAAAAAGATTTATTATTTCAAATGCTATCTAAAATAGTTGGGTTTTTCACAAAGATAATTCATAGGACCCTTACCTAATGACCTTGATAACCCCGCTTGAAGAACGTTTATATATACGTAGATACTGTGCTTTTTCATACTTATTATTAAGTCGTTCGCTGAATTGTTTTTAAAGAGCTGCGACAGAAAACACCGACCGGACAAAATATAATACCTGTTTGTGCATATTCAACATATATTTTTAGTAAGCTAAAATTATTAATATATTGTTTTTCTGTTTGTTCGTTCGTTCATTCGATGCTAGGTATTGAGAGAATATCGCGCGCACTTTTCGTTATCCATGAATAAAATCATTAATAATTTTCTAACAATTAATTTAATTTTTTTTATTTATAGAAAATGCAGATTTTTATCCTCATGACGCTAATTGCTCTAGGTGCAGAAGCTCATTTTTGGAATCTTTTCAATCATCCATGGCATCAATGGAGAGCCCCACCAAGCCAAGTATCTCCTGTTAATAATGATTATTATCAAAATAAATTCTCTAGATACCCCCAACAGAATTATCCGGAAATGAATTTTAATATAGACCAGTCTATTACCAATGCCGAATGGATCTGTAGGAATCCAAACACAGGTGCCACGGTATGTTCGTTAAAATATCCATTGTTTTACGTGAAATCTAAATTAGTTTACATCAATTGGATAACTTAATGAATTAAATCATTTCTTATTCGACGATGAATCGTTTCAGTTAATAATAGCACCAAAAGCAAAAGATCAAACGACGGGACCATCCGATTTTTCTTTCCCTAATTTTGTAGAAAAAAAAGATAAGCATAATTTGAATCAAGAAAATACTAATATAAAACCAAATAATATAAAGAATAACGGAGGAGAAGGTTTCATCGACATAAGGCTCGCATAATAATTTCTCATGAGAGTTTCATTGAAAATTATTCGATCGTTTTTAAATTCTAAACATTTATATGTTTTTATCTAAACGATTATCGAAATGTATATATATTATAAGAAGATTGTAGAAAAATATCTTTGCTTTTAAAATAATTTGGGGGAGGAATTTACATTACAAATATATTAAATAAAAGTTATCAATATTTTGTGTTAAACGTTTTCTAGTTTTAGAACATTTTAATAGTTAATCCTCTATAACTCAATTGTATTTCTATCTACGACCAAAATTATATAACGTAAAAATAAGAATTTTTCTTACGCTAGTACAATTACAACATACCAAATATAGAAAACTTGCGATACGTGAAACAATAATGATTTTTTTAGCGATAGAATAAAACAACGAGATACACATACAATGTGTTTTACGTGATGTTATAGAGGGTTAAATTTATCATACTTTACTCTTCTTTTCTTTTTTCCTTATAAATATTAATAGAACATTATAATTTTATAAAAATTTTAGAGAAGAAAATTAGTAACAAATCGTATAAAGAATATTATATGTTTGTTTCTTTTTTTGTACACATATTTAACAATATATACGATCATCAATTTCTATGATTGAAAAAGATTTTGTTTATGTACTAAAGAATCTTTGTTTATGTACTAAAGGATCTTTGGTTGTACCAAAAGTACCTGCATAAGTATAAAATATATAAAATAATATGTATAAAATTACTTTAAAATATCTCAATTGTAAATATTCAAATTTTATAGATGCAATCAATTATCAGATCATTTTTATGGGATCATTCTTCCAATTGCGATTCTATGCGCACGTTCCTGAAAAAATGAAAAAGAAAAAAAAATATTATTATAGAAATATTGATTTAATTAAACAATTAATTAGATTTCAATTATGGATTAAAAATTTATACGTAACGTACAGGTACAACATCAGCATTAGGAATATCATCATGTGGACCTTTACTTCTACTGGGTAATTTTGGTAGAAGAGAATTTGTAGCTAATTGGATGTTAGGATTTCTTTGTTTTATTTCCTTCTCAGTTTCCTTTGCTATTTGTAAAACAGCTTTTGCATTTATTACATGATTGTCGCTCCATAGTGGGCATCTAAAAATAAAAATGCATAAAGTTATCTACGTATATTTTTCACCATGTATATATATAAATATTATAGTGATAGATTAAGAAGTAATATTTACAGATCTGTTTCCGTGGAACCTTGGCCACGAAAATGTTTGTAACCATTGACTGGCTTATCACAAATATAACACATTTCTGCACCGCAAACGCAAACCATTTTATTGCATCCTTCTTCTTTAAAGAAAGGCCGACTACACTTGTAACATTTATGTATAAGCGCTTCGGTCATTTTTTCTTCCAAATAATGTTGTGCATTTTCAGATTTAACCTCGTCACAATTTAATGGTATATGATTTAGTTCTTTACATAATCTAAAGAAAAAAATGAATACAATTAATCTAAATTAATATGATTAAAATCTATGGTATGCTTATAACTTTAAATAATGTCATTAGAAATGTATACTTGCCTACAAGATTCTTTCATACAATCAGGATTAAAACATTTAAAAACTTTATCTTCTGGTGGTGGAATAGATGCAAAGTGACAAAATGGACAAGATATTAAACCTTCTAATCCAGCTGCCATTATTTCTGCTTCTTGTCTTTTTTGAAGTAGTATACTAAAAGTTGTCGGAGGAAGTACCTTTTGAAGAATCGATAGACTAAACTCACTTGTACAGTTTATAAAGCAATAGATATGTGTCTCACTTTCTGCTAACTTTAGTTCAGTACCTTTTACAATACAGGTATTACAAAATATATGACCATTTTCACAACTAGAACATTTAGATGGCATACATTCGTCGTTGAAACAACATTGGCATTCCAGAAGACTCTTACTTTTCTATTATAAAATTACAAACAGATATTATTTTATATAAGCTTATATTAAAAAATACATTATTATTAAAATATTAACCTTAAGTCTCAGGAATTCCTCAGTTTCATCGTTTTGTAATTTCAACAAATACTGTTTTATCTCCGATCTATGTTGTATAAATGTGAATTCTTGTAAAAGAGGAATGTCTTCTGGTGGCAAGTATATACTTTTACGTTTCAGTTTCATCTCAGATTTCATTACATCCAATGTTTTTGCTGTTAAACTCAAATGATGATTTGCGCATATATATACGCGCAATATAGTATTGGTCTATAAAAAAGAATTATATTATTCATACTGTAATAGTTAAAAAAAATTGATATTATTTTATATAATTAAGCATACCTTTAATTTATTATAATAATATTCGAGAAATTTAAGTGCAATTGGACTAAATGAATATTTTCTGTTTGGATCTTCGAAATGAGTGAACGGATTTGGAAATATCTCTAAAAATTTCTCTACTTTAAAATCTGTAGTATATTGCTTTTGTTGCTCAGTTATTTTTCTTTTCGCTAAATATTGTTCTCGTGTAGGATAATCGTGCGTTTCGAGTTTAGATTGTACAAATATTTTCAATTCCTCCGGTTTATCATATAACGATTCCACGATATCTCTTAAATAAATTGGATCCGCATCTGGAAATATTCCTGATATATTTTCATATTGTTCATTTACATCACATATCATCTCAGGTGATTCTGATTTTATAGCAATATGTGGATGCTTATCTCCTAAGACAAGTAAATGATCAATTAGTTCATTTAGTACTGTGGATTCATCCAAGTTGGTTTTTTGAATATCATTGGACTTGCATATTGATTCAATATAATCAGGATCCACAGAAGAAAATATAGTTACAAGTTTGTAATAAATTTTGATCATTTCAGGAGAAAGCTTTGATTCCTTTTCATTTACAATTATATTTAGTACTTCTGTTGTTGAAGAAGATTCGTAAGATCTTGATTCTTCAGTTTTCATCAGTTCCAGATTAGATGTATTTTCTGTTATTAACATATTTAATGATTTTTGGGGAAATGTATTCATTGTTGACACGTCGACTTCAAAAGCCTTCTTTATTCCCTTACTAGTACTTGGTAAATTTAAATCAGCGTTCGAAGACACAAATTCTGTAGGTCGTTCAGAAGTACTAATTGTATCTTTCACAACAGGAAAAAAAAAAGTAGATACAGCTTGATTTGAAGAAGTATCCGTGTTAACTTCATCCATATTTTTTAAAGAATTTAAATGCCTTTCGCTCTTGGATAACAAGCAACTTTTGGCTTCCTCTGTATTAGGAATAAAAGTTGTTTGAGATACATTATCATTTATTTTACTGATAAACTGTGTTGATGTTAAATTCTTCCCAGGTGGTGAAGATTTATCTTGCTTTGTAACTTTTATTTCATATGAGCTAACATACGTTAATTTAGCAGGAGCTAAAACAACGCTGTTAGTAGATGGTGTACATACTGATTGCAACGAAGGTACATATTTAGGAACTATTAACTTTGCTGGGTGTATTAATGGATTATTATGACTAATAGAAGTAACTGACTTACTTTCGCCATCAATTACATTATTTTTATCCTCTATCTTACAATTAATGGATTCTTCTACATTTAAGTTTTTTTTTTCTTTCAATGATTCAGTCATTTTAAAATTAGTTTGCACTTCACTAGGTATAACATTGAGTTCGTTAGATAAATATCTTTTAGACTCAATTTGATAGACATCATCTGTTAATTTTCTTTTTGATAATATTTGTGGCATTGGTCTGTTATGCGGCAACAAATCCCACAGAGTAAGCTCATTGCAATTTTTAGCGTACTGATTTTTCTTAAGTGTTTGCAATATCAATCTAAACTCTATTTCGGGCAAAAGAGCTGATATTAATTCTGCATCTTTATGAAATTTATGATAAGCGTTATTATCTATAAAATTGTCCATATTACCAATATCTTTACTACAACCTGGAATTGGACTTTTTAATACTCTTGAATAACCAATTTGATCCTCGGTTACTTCATTGACATTTCTATTACCAGCAAATTCTTCATGATTTTCATTAAAGTCTAAATTATTATTTGGATCATTATTATTTTCCTCTAATATCTCTAAAGTATCAGCAATCATACCAGGAACTTCTCCATTATATGGTGGTGGTGAATTGATCAAAGAAGGTGAACGAGTTTCAACATCAGAAACATCCCACATAGTCGTGTAATAAGAATTCACTTCTTCATCCGATTCACATGAAATTTCATTCATATCTGATAACTCTAAATAATTTTCTCTTTCTTTGTCATTATTCTCGGCAACAGCATCTTCTGCTGATAGATTATGTTTGCTATTAGATTCTCTTTTACAAAGATCTTGAAATTTAGAATCCGAAACATTCATTATAACAAATATTATATTTATTTCTTTTCCTTTATCTTTTATATTATTTAAATGAATACACGATTTTTTTAAAACTTCACACAAACATAACAAGTTTTTTATGAATAATATTTCATTCTTATAAGACGATTCGAATATTTTTTTGTCTACTAACCATTTTAATATATTTCGTTAATTTCATTCTAACGAGATAACAAGAGAGTATTTTTTACAAATTTGCTTTTTTGCCTGTTTGAATATTTACCGTTACTATTGTAAACAATAACAGCATGTTAACAATAGAAAATGGATCAAGAGAAAGATACAAAAATAGGTACATATACTTCCTGTTGTAACAAAGATTCCAACACAGTCCGAAGGATTTTCATTGGATAATATTAACTGCTATGTACAACTAATGACAAATATCATCTATTAAAAATTCAATAAAATTAACCTTAATCTTTGCTAAAGAAATTTTCTATATTCATTTCAAATCACTTTCTATTTAATTATATTCACTTGAAAGTTATGAGTATGTGTCGAAAATTAAAATTAAACTTGCTATTTGCAAAGCGATTTTTTCGATACAACCAATCAGATGAAAGGTAAAAATATTATGTGAGATAAATCGTTATTCGTTAGGCTAGGCTAACACGACGCAGTACTGTTAACGCTGTTCAGAAGTGCACATTTCTGAATTTAACTTTTCGTTATGTCGCAAGAGTTTTTTTTATCTAGTTTGTGCCTTTAACGAATGGTGAATTCTGTTATGTTTAGTCTATCATATGTGATAATAGATTATTCATAAAAATTAGTCAAGTGTCATAAGTAATTTTTGCCCTTTAAATCGAACTTTTAAAAACAAAATGTCTCGTCATCGAGACGTTCGATGTATGAACTACTCGGATGGTAAGTTATTATCTCATAATATTACGAATATAATTATTCATTTTATATTACTGTTAGAAAAAGTGAAAGAGAAAGAGAAAGTTATTGTTCATTTATATTTAACATATTAGAATAACAAGTATGAAATTAATGACAAATGTTTCTTTTCCCATTTCTTTTTCAGAGTATGATGGTTATGATGACGTTTATGGGCATTCTGTCGAAGATGATTATTGCGTATCACCCAGTGGTACGTTAGCTTTTTTTTTTTCCAACAAGACATAATTAACATAGACTCTTATATATTAATTCTAATTATAGCTGAACAGTTTTTGTTCGATCGAAGCAAACAACAAAATATTGCATCTTTCATCATGGAGCCAGACATTGTTGAGGACAGTGAAGATGATAATTCAGTATCATCACATGAAGCTAAAAAATTAAATCTTTCCGAGCTAGAAAAAGTCAAGTTATTATCTTGCATGGAAGCTATAAGAAATATTATAGGAGATTCTCTAGATGAATCTAAACTCGAAGAAGAAATCATCCGGTCAGGGTTTAATACCAAAGTTGCGTTGGATAAACTTTTAAGTACAGCACCCCAACAAAATATTGCTGGTACGTATTCTAGTCATTATTATTTTGACAAAAACATAATTATATTTACAAGTAGGTGTGCAACCAGCGAATAAAAATGTATATGTTTATAGAAGAATCTAGAGGTAGTAAGGAGTGTCCGAATTCTTGTCCAGGTACATTTTAGATACTCACCTGCTTTTTTATTTAGTTGATTAATATTTCTCTGAAAGTCATTTTCTTTTTGTTTCATGTGTTGCGTTTTTCTTTGCTGGTAAGGTAAGGTTCTACTTCTTCCTATGCCATTTCTAAATGTTTATTATCGCAAAAGTCTGTAATACCTTCTGCCACTACAAATATTACAGATCCGGTTAAAAGCCAAACTAGTAGTTCAGAAAACAATTTTTCATCTTTAGCAGAAATGATAGCTAATCATACAAATTCCAAACAATTGCTTCCGTGTAATTCCAAGCCGCAGTGTTTTGGTTCTTTGGCTGATTTAACTGAGAGTCATTTCAAAAAATCGAATATTTATCTAAACAAAACAAAACCTAGTACAGAATCATTTTCAAATTCTGGTTTCATCATACCCAAATTGAATATTAACAAAACTAAAGATAATTCTGAACATAATGTAGTCTCCTCAGTATTAGGCAGTAAAGATAATACAGATAGTAGAATAAATATTAAAAATAATATAAATGAAGCTCAATTCGTTGCGGATAAAGTACAAATTGATTCACTTAGAAAACAAATTTCTAATATTAAGTTAACATCTGACTCTAACAGCGAATTTAACGAACAAAAGGCAATAAATTTAACTAATTTAATGGAACGCAATGTTGAATGCGTTAGAACACCGTCACCCGATAATGGTTTGATTGATTTAACTATTGCATTAAAAGAAGTTCATGTAATAGATTCAAAACATATTCGTCAAATAGAATCAGTAACATATCAATGTTACGATACTCTACCGTACATAGAGATGATGAAAAATAGCTTACTTATTAATTCTATTTCTGAAGCAAATCCAGAATGTAGTTTAAATTTAAATAGTTTGGTACATACGAGATTACCGTATGCCAAGAAAACTCCTTCTTCTCTCGGAATAATTTTAGCTAGAAAAATGAAGTTAAAACGACCTTTTCTTAATGTTAAAGCAAAAGGAAATCTAAAATCTATCAAAAGATTTGACTTTTCTACTCCTTATACTTGTTAATAGGCAATTTGACTAATCATATAGAATATTAATATGCATGATATACAATAATAATGATCTAAAAACATCTTTTGGAATACTATAAACTTACCGAAGTTTATTTTTCTTTTTTATTACTTTTATTTATTTATATTTTCTAATATTATATATTGTAGCGCATTTTTATAGCTCGAGATTTAGTGATAAAAATTGTATTGTAATTTTAATTATTATTTTATTTTTATATGACTAACTTTAATCAAGTAAAGAGATTTGTAAAAATAACAAAGTTTTAAGTAAAGAGGACAATCAATTTGAACATTTTTTTAATAAGTATATTTAAATATATATATATATATTGATATGTTTATTTATTTTGTTTTTTTGAGTATGTTCGGAAAAAAATATTAATTTAGAAAGTTAATTATAATAGGTAACAAACTGCCATCAAAGTCAACATTACAAATAAATATACCTTCGATGATAAAAGTTGTACCAGCTGGAACAAGTTCTATTGTCAAAGGATTTACTGTGAGTGGATCAGAAAATACAGGTCATTTGAGTCCACATATCCAGACTCCACGTTCTCAAAGCCCATGTTCAGAACAGAATAGTCCAAGTGTAAAACGTAAAGAAATAGCGAAACAAGATAAGAACATAGTTTCTTTAGAAATAGATTCTTTAAGAAGTCAGTCTCCCATGTTTGGTCATGTTACACCTGATTTAGATTATAAGACAAAGCCTATAGAAGATAAACGTGATGCGTTACGCATTTATAAAGATAAAAGAAGCAACAATAAAGAACAATTACACTTGGTTGTCGTGGGACACGTTGATGCTGGAAAAAGTACCTTGCTAGGACGACTTTTGTGTGATTTAGGACAAGTTTCATCAAGACTGATTCACAAGTATCAACAGGAGAGTAAAAAAATTGGTAAACAATCCTTTGCTTATGCGTGGGTGTTGGATGAAACTGGAGAAGAAAGGTAAATAAATTATATAAAACAACTGCAATTACCTAGAATATAATTAATGCATATAATAATATTTGATATATTTTTCTGTAGGGAACGTGGAATTACAATGGACGTTGGACATTCTAAATTTGAAACTGACAATAAGTGCATTACCCTTTTGGATGCACCTGGTCATAAGGATTTTATTCCAAATATGATCACTGGTGCTACTCAAGCAGACGTTGCTTTGCTGGTAGTTGATGCTACCAGAGGTGAATTTGAAACTGGATTTGACAGCGGTGGACAGACTAGGGAACATGCTTTATTATTGCGTTCTTTAGGTAATTAAAATTTTAATCTGTTTAACTTATATAAAGAATTATTAATATTCTATTAAAATTTTTCTATTTTCAGGTGTGTCTCAATTAGCTGTTGTAGTTAATAAATTGGATACAGTGAATTGGTCGAAAGAAAGATTCAATGAAATCGTTGATAAAATGAGTGTTTTTCTAAAACAAGCTGGATATAGAGAAACTATCACTTTTGTACCTTGCAGTGGACTTTCAGGAGAAAATGTAGTTACCTCGCCAAAAGCTGAAGGTCTTTCCAACTGGTAATATTATCTTATTATAATAATCGTGTAACAATTATCTTATAGGTTTATGGAAAATAATGAAAAACGAATTATTAAACAAAAAAAATATTACAGGTATACTGGACCAACATTAGTAAATGTTATTGATAATTTTAAATGCCCAGAACGTCCAGTTAATAAACCATTAAGATTTTCTGTAAATGACATATATAAAAGTACTGGGTCTGGATTTTGTGTATCAGGGCATGTAGAAACGGGTATGGTGTGCATAGGGGATAAAGTTTTGGTGCTGCCACAGAATGAAGTTGCAATCGTTAAAGGTTTTCCTATTGAAATTTCTACTTTGAAAGTAACTTGTTATTCATTTAGATATGACAGAAATAATTGAAATTATGTATTTAATTATATAGGTTTACAAGCAGATGATATGTCCATAGTAAATGCCTTCGCCGGTGATCATATCTCTTTGACGTTATCCGGCATCGATCAACAAAATGTTGGAGTTGGTGATATCATTTGTAATCCACAAAATCCTGTACCAGTAACAACATGTTTTCAGGCACACATAGTCATATTTTCTATTGCCGTGCCTATTACGAAAGGCTTTCCAGTAATAATGCATCAGCAATCTTTGGTACAACCAGCTATAATAACTAAATTGATAGCACAGCTCCATAAAAGTACCGGAGATGTGATAAAAAAGAAGCCACGCTGTTTACTTAAAAACACTAGTGCGATTATTGAAATTGTAACACAAACTCCGGTTTGCATAGAATTGTATAAGGACGTTAAACAGCTTGGTAGAATAATGTTAAGAGTAGAAGGTACCACGATTGCAGCTGGGTTGATAACAAAAATTAAATGATTATTAATTAATTGAGTTCCTTGGTGCAAAATCTAAACATAGGATAAAATCGTGTATCTAATATAATAAAAACTCTATCCAGAAAGTGATATTATTTTTTTTTAATGTGTACAAAAACTATAAATCTTAATACTATAATTTTACAGAAAAATGTTTTTATTTTTATTATTATTGACTATAACTTATAATACCTTTGTATTGTATTTGTAATAATGTGTAATATTTTAAATATAGCACAGAAGAATACATTTAATTATTTATTAATAATATAATTTTCAATTTTGATACTTAAAACATATTAAATTCTCTGTAATAAAAATTCTTTGATAGATTTAAATTATCCATAATCGCGTTTCATCAATAATAAATTCACATCTGACAACTGCTGCAACCAAAGGGAATGTCCACACTATGATTGACGTTACTAGGCCTACCTAATCTTCGACTTGGAGGTTTAGGAGGACTGAGAAATAAATACAGTTTGAAATTTTCCTTAAATAATTGATTAAATTTCTTGTGTGTGCAATTAATTTAAATATGCATGGTTCTTACCCAAAGCCAGGTCTAAAATCTCTTGTGTTTCTACCGTCATTTTGATCTGTGTCCATGCCAAATAACGTCTTGAAACTGATGTAAAAATCATGCGTAATTACAAATACAATGATGCACCAGGAACAACTTAACAAATTTCTATTATTAAATACTTACAACATTATCACCATAAATATTATAGCTGAAAAGAAATCAGCGATTCTTTTAAAGCCCCATGGTACTGAGTTAAGAATTTTCCCATCTGAAAATGCGTATTGTCAATTGATACATTTTTGAATAAAAACAATGGTAAATGAAAGGTTATAATCATTACCACTCGATATATAAACCATATTTAATAGTCAACGTTGACGAATAATAATGGAAGATAAATTTTATATTGCTGTTGTTTAATTATTACAATCTTCTTCTGTAATTAACACTGCGTATTCTAATTATTACAATTTGATTAATTAACGTCGACAAGTGTCACTGACAGACGATCTCACGAGCGTGAAATTATAAAATATTTATCAGGCCCCCTTTCTACATTCTCTCATATGTACAGCCCTGAATGCATCCACGTGCCATCTAGCGTTTTATTTGTGGATTAATTCATGCACTTTCTGTGATTGATAGTTAAGTTATTTTGAAAAATATATTTAAACAAAATAAAAAATTATACTAGAAAATCATTAATGTTATTTATCATGGAAGAGAACTCAAATACACTTTTCGTCATATCGTGAGTACAAGAAAATTTGTACAACTTATTTGTATTATTGTTATATTTCATATTATTTTAATCATTTTCTACTTGAACTTTTATTCACTTTATTGATTAGAAAATCTACAAAGATTTACAAAGATATTTAATGTAAAATTCAATGTACATTAAGCACCTTTCGTTGCTTACCTCGCTCGTACGTGGAAGTAATTTAAACAAATTAAAAAATAAAACAAATTAAAAATTTGTCCTTATGAGCATCTGGTGGAAAAATTGGACAAAAGTTTCTGTTAGCTGACCCAACAGAACGTGCTAAGCACGTTTCTATTGAATAGATATTTCGAAAGGGAAAACATTCAAAGAAGAATAATTAACATAAATTTCAATTTGCTGCGATGGGGTAGAAATAAATTTTTCGCGACAGTTTTACAATAGAAACATTTATTTGTAGAATCCGTTGCAAAGACACGACGGAATATCTGATATATTTTTGTTCGTTCGTTCGTTTTTTTTTTCTTTTTTTCTTTTCTTCATTTGCATTTTTATCTTCTTTTGACTCATCCCATATTACATATACACAGGAAATAAATATAATCCGTGCACGTAGATATTTTTTCGATTTATTTTGGTCGACAAGATCCTAAACGCACTAGCGCAAAGCAATATGCACCGTACTGCAGTTGAGTATCGGCCGATTATCATCTAAAATTCAAGTTTTATTTTGTTCGCATTGTAAAATTATTCATATTTATTTTCAACCATTAGATTTATATTTATCACTAGATTGCGAAATTTTATGCAATCTCGTAACAAGTATGCTACACTTTACCTGCATGTTTTACATTTGTTTTTTTCTACAGTTATCAGTTCTCTTTGCAACATTTGATGAATAATTAAATATACTTTATGAATTATTACTATTCAATATTTTTTGTACGTACAATCATATAATTAACATTTTCATTGCCGTGCGTTTCGCGCTAGTGCGTTTAAGTCTTTAAACGTTTTTTTTTCATTTTATCTCTTTCTCTTTTTCTATTTTCTTCCTTTTACATTCGTAGTTCCGCTTATGCGATGGAAACCAGTTTTCTTACACGGATTATAATATAAGTGCACACGAGACACAGATAGGTATAGGATGGAAGTTCAAGATTACAAGGAAAGAAAGTCTTATGCCAGATTATTAGTGTGCTTTAAGAAACACGTGCGCATTTATTTCTTTTTATGCGTTTCTTTCCCTTTTTTGATTTAAATGTGGCGGCAAGTTGAAAGGTGCGACCTCATTTCAATTTTATTTCATTAGAATAATCCACGGGGCAGACTCGTTATACTAAATATGTTACAAAAAAAGATATTAAGGGTTTAAAGATAATATCATTAACTCGAGTAAAAGAAATAAGAAACAAAAATGTTTGGCAAAATTGATCTGCGTGTGGAAGGTGTTTTGAACTCTTCAAGTCTTGAACCTCTTTGTCTTTTCTTGCTTATTTTTGAAAACCCTGTTATAGATGTGTTAGCTCGAATTTGTTCATGTCAGAATTTAGCCGAACGATCTGACCTGAATGTGCACGTGCTTTTACGTTTGGTGCAATAAAGGAAGAAATTTTCTTTGAAAATGTACAGTCAGGTTTATACGTAACTCTGAAAATTTCCTCGAAAGACTTTGAGTAAGATCATTTCGAAACGACACTTTTTTTTCTTATATCAATAATATTATCTTTCCTTCGCGAGTCTTGCTTACCTTTTTATCCGATTATTATAGCTTCGTCCGACAATCGTATTTTATACGGATGTGATGATTTCATAGAGAAAAGTGTTCATCAAGTAAGAGTTCTTTTGATAGTACACGATTACTTTGATTTTACGTGAGGGTTATTGTACATTTTGAAAAATGTTAATCGCTTTATCGTTATTTATAAAGCAGAAGAAATGACGAAAGTAATAGCAACGATGCAAAATTTCTTACGACGAATTTCGACAGCCATTATTCGTAATCAAAATCAATTTGATTTATGCGAGTACGCAATGAAAACTATTCGAACGAGATGTTCAAAATGAAGGAAGATCTATTATAAAAGCTAAAGATGAATGAAAAAAAAAAACGTATATATATATAAAATAAAGTTTTTCAATATATTAGAAAATATTCTTTTGACTCGTTGCTCATCACTTCCGCAAGAACGAGTTCCGAGGTAGGTTTACGACACGATGGGATTCTCCTCGTGAGCCATTTTTTTTTCTTTTTCCATGGCTCGGATGAAGAAAGTACAGGCTTTGAAAGTGAGCAGGTCATAGAAAGGAAGCTTGCATGCTGTCTCTTTTTCTTTGGTACGCCCTCGTTGACCTAGAATCGGCCCTTTACCGGGGCAACTGTCCATTCGTTTCCTCGCAGTCATCGTTAAAATGACCGAGAGTATAACGAACGAAGATGGGAGAGATCGCCAGGAGGTTTTAGATTAGACTTCAACTCCCCTTTGCACGGTATTAGTGTCTAACGCGCATTTCCCGCTAACGTCCGGAGAATTTTGAAGATATTCTTCGGATGGGGTAACACCGGCCGTTCTCATTTCGTCCCTCACGCGTTCCACCTACCAGGGAAATAATAATGATAATGATAATAATAATAATAATAATAATAATAATAATAATTTCAAACTAATATTAAACGTGGCCAACACTCATAACGGATTATTACCTTTCTGAAGACTCTCAGTAAATTTAAACCGGCCACCTTCTTCAGATCGCGTACGCTCCATTTGCCGCTGCGAAGAAGTTCTGCAAACAATTCGGGATATTTGGAAACGTCGTCGAGACCCCTCGGTGTTCTACGATAAAACGATCAAATGAATAAACGAATATGTATATTATCTTTTAATATGATAATAAAATAATATCGAGACGTACTTGTTGATACCATCGAAGTCACCACCTACTCCGATATGATCGACGCCGATAAGATTTCTAATATAATAAATATGTTCTGCCACGTCGGATATAGTTGCCTCGGGACCGCACTTGACGAAATAATTATAAAATGTCACCATCACTAATCCCCCGTTGTTAGCCTAAAAAAATACAATACGAGGTTGATACATATTTATATCGTATACGTCTATCTTAGAACTTGGTAATAATCAAAGGAAAAGTAATACGATTTTAATGAGCGATACTAAATGAAAGATAAGAAAATTATCGGTCGCGATGGCCGGTACAACTAGAGTAGAGCGGTTTGTTATCCGCAGTTACAATTATACCACCGTGTTTCAGGTGGATGGAGCCGTTAATTTTGGTCCCTGTTAATTTGCTTCTTAACGAGGTCGGCTAGGAGAGGATTCTTACTTTAATGGAGCAGAAAACTCGACAATAGAAAGGAATCGTCGCTGGTAATTGTTTCAAACCATTGGAATTCTGGATGCCGAGGAGCAAAGATAATTATCTATTCCCGAGAGAGAAAAGGGAATGATGAGGGGGAGGGGGAGAGGAGAGAACGCGGAGGGATCGAAGAAAAGTAACGTCGTATCTTTAAAAGAGCGAGAATAATTATTTTTCAGAGGTGTAAATTAAAAGGCTAAGAGAGGTGTCGGATGTAGGAAAGAAAAGAGAACGAGAGAGAGAGAGAAAGACGTAAAATGAAATACGTAAGGAAAAGGTAGCAACGAAGCAATATTATCTCGATATCGTCGACCTACCAACTGTTTTAAAATGTCATCGGGCACGTTTCTCGAGGAATTACAAATGGCAAAGGCCGAGGAATGTGAAAAGATCAGAGGTGCTTTGGTCGCTTTCAGGGCATCCCTCATTGTTGCTCTGGCTGTGTGGCTGAGGTCTATCAGCATGCCTAGTCTATTCATCTCTCGCACCACGGCCTTGCCGAACGCCGTTAGACCTCCTCCTGCGAACGAGAATAAAAGGAGTAGGTTAATTAAAAATAACATGCACCAAAGTGGAAGAGAGAGGGAGAATCAATTCGGTGAATAAATTTCTACAAAAGAGAAGAGTGCATGCATAAGTACAAAGGACCAAAATAGATCTCTTAGTTTCTTTATGAGGAAAGGAAGGAAGATAGAGTCTTAGGAGAAGTTTGTGTAGCGCACTTTGGCAACATTTAACCAGACATTGTGTATAGCGGGTGCCATAAAACCATATACTCGTGTTGCTTAGGGGCACTTGAGGAGACAACCGCAGCCATGGGGGATGGACTGTTCTCTTCCATCCTGTTTATAGCTCGGAGGATCTCTAGCACCCTCGGATTACCATCTGTTTAGTTTGTTGAAGGATAGTTTACGCGGTCAACACTTTGAGTATGACAATGAGTCTGCACCCTGGAGTCTAAGAGCTTCTATATATCTTTGCGATAGTTGCCTTCTCCTCTTCGTGCACCCTTTCATCTCTTTTACTTTTCAGTTTGATCCGATATTAACAACGATATGAGAGATTGATTATGAAAAGCATATCTGTTCATTCGCATTTTCTATCTCTCTCTTTCTCTTTCTCTCTCCATTTTCGTTTTTTCTCTTTTTCCTTTCGTATTTCCTCCTCAAATCGTATTCGCAAATTCACCCGAGAGGATTTCCCGATGGTATTGATCGATCGCGCATGAGAGATTATGGACGAAGAGTGATTAATTTTTTTTTAAATCGCGTTACTCCATTTCCCATCGTCCTCCGTTACGCTTCAAACATATTTTATCGTTTCGAATTGAATTTCCGGGAATTCGCGCGGAATTTCAAATGTAATTCATCAATTTGCCTCGTTTTATTCGTTGCCGTTTTATCTATGGATACTGTTATTATCGATCGTCTAGTTGAAATAGAGAGAAAGAGAGATTCGGAACGGTGATAAATTCAAATCAAATCGAAAGAGAACTAAGAAAGATTCTTCCCTTTTTATTTTCTTCCCTTCGTGGAAATCTTTGACTCACCGTCCTCGTCGTCCTCCTCGGCGGTGGAGCTTTTAGCCCAGGGTGTGTTACACCTGTGCGTCAGCGTCAAATATCTTACGCCGAGATGATAAAGAGTTCTTAAAACGGCTAGACTACTTCCCAGACTATGTCCACCTTCGACGCCTATTAGCGAAGCTATTCTGCCTCTCTCGTGAGCTTCTAAAATTTCTGCGAGTCCAATGAACAAAGATAACGATTAAAAATCATTTCGTTATTTGCGATAATACACGAGTAATATATAGTATTCGTAAATTATTAATTATGAATAATATAGACAGACCTTTGGACGATGCGGCAAATTGCATCTGTTGGGAGTACTTTTCTATAAGTCGTTTTATAAGATCGACCTGTTCGAGAGTCAGCTGGACGGCGTTAAGATGCTGAGAATCGCATGGCACATAAGCGGCCCAAAACTACGGTCGACGTGAATAACCTTGTTATTGAAGAAAAGGGAAGGACAAAAGGGGTAGTAGAGAAAATCCGATAATACCTGACCACCGACCATGCCTTGTCGCAATCTGACCAAGTCCGTTTGACTCCAATTGCTTTTGCTCCACGGTGCGACTTGCCTGAGATCCTTGTCGAAGTCGAAATCAGCCAACTGGTTGTGGACAAAGTTTCTGATATTCCAAGGTAGGTCATTGTGTCCGTCGATCAGCGGTACCTCCGTTAGAATTTGTCGTACTACTTCGAGTCTCTCTCGCGGAGTTGTTAAGGACGAGGCAAGGTCGCTATCCGCTGGTTGCGGTCCAACTCTGCCAACCCAACTGCCAATCGACAGTATAATCACGCTCACGATCCAGACACCGCTTTGTCCGCCACTCTGAAACAATGTCGATCGATTGATTGTTACGCGACATTTTTAAGATATTACATTGATCAAAAATTATGTTAATTTATCTGTAATATACGGAACGGTTTGATTCCGAGGAAACAATAGGTCGCGTAGGGAAACGATTCGCAATAGGTTCTAAGGATTTACTCGAGCAAGTAGATTAAATCTCGGACAGCGCGTATACTACCACCATTGATTTCCCTCTATCGTTTTCCCTCCTATATATTCTTTATATTCCCAGAGGAACAGACGACGACGACGACGAGGAACGCGAGATGTGTGCCGGAGAAAAGAAAACGGGAGAAATAATTTACCGTTCCATTTGCGAACTTATTGAAAAGTTTCTCTCTTTTCTTTTTTTTTTTTTTTTTTATATCAACGAACGAAAAAAGGTATAGGAGGGAGAGTAAGTAACTACTTTACCTCGGATTTCATACTTTCCCAATAATCGAATAGAAATTGATATAACCCTTCGTATCTATCTAACTACAGAAAAGGGATCGTGCTTGATTATTGAATCGAATCCGGGAAGAATGATGTGGCTTTGTCAAGGTTTAAGTATATCGTTTCCTTCGATGCAACGATTGCATAGAAGACATTCTAGACGATCATGGCTTTTCTGCGAGACTCGGAAGACAAAGCCTTGGTTTGATGCAGCTCCTCTTATTCGACGGAATGATGGATCGAATTCGCTGGGGAGGAAATTATAACGTCGAGTATACACTCCAGAGATATACGTATAACCTTTACAGACTTTATAGATAAAAAGTTGAAATAAAATAAAATAAGAAGAAGAAAAATAGAGAAAGAAAAAAAAAGGCAACCGGATGAAGTATAATGCTTCTTCTTCGTAAAAATTAACGTTAAAATCGAAATAAAGAGAGAGAGAGAGAATTCTTAGCACGTAATTTTTCATGGTTTTATACTCGTAGCAACGAAATGGTCACACCACACCATTCGGCAAAGTTGGGTAAGAGAGAGGAAGGCAGAAAAGTTTTCGAAAACTTTTCGCATATCGTATTTCGCTGCACTTTAGCCCGGGTTTATGTTTTCTTCCACGGCTTCGTCGTCGAAGGCCAGTTGAATGAAAAGTTCGAGTACGAAGAGAATCTGGCGAGCTCCTCTTTTGAGATCTACGTTCTGTTTCGAGCTGCTAGAAAGTATGTGTGTGTGTGTGTGTGTGAGAGAGAGAAAGAGAGAGACACGGATAGCGTGAGAAAAGTGACGCCTGCGAGTAAACGTCTCTAAAAGAGAAAAAATAAAAGGAAAAGAAAAAAGGATAACAAACGCGCGAAAAGAAAAAAAGGAAATGAGAGAAAAGTAAGAAAAAGAGAAGAAGGGAGAAAAGTAAGAGAAATTTTGAAGGTTCTCACTATGGTGTGTACTTTTCGCGTAATACGATAGCGTGAAACGTTTAAGGGTGTGTGAGCAACTTGGTAAAAACTTAAATTTCGCTGGAATGAAAAGTAAGTACTGTACGAGATGGAAAACAAGTGATACGAGACAATGCACAATTAAACGACACCGTTCGCAGTTTTACAGATATCGAGCGTTTCCGAAAAATTTGCCATTGAATTTTTGAACCAATAACTTTGGCAACGTTCAATGGTTAGCAGATGGCTTCCAGCAAGCAGCCCCGATTGAATATTTTGTTTCCATAGCCACGACAACTGATATTGCCCGTTTCATAATTAATTGTTCAATCTACGGGTTGGCAGTATTAGAGAAGGATCAATTGTTTATCAAAATCGTTCGTAGGCGCATGCTCCTCGAGTATTCGAGGAGTTAGCCAAGCGCATTAAATTCTCCTTTAGAATTTTAACGAGTTTCTACGTTTCTTCCGTTCATTCCTTCTTTCTTTATTTCTTTATTTATTTCTTTTTCTTTTCTATTTCGATTCTCCTCAATGCCGGTGCATTGTTAAAACCGTACAACAACGTTCACGGTTTAATGCACCTTCGTGTTTCGCACGATTTTCATTAGACGTGGGAGAAAAATTTTCAAGAGACGAGTGTCTTGACGAACCATTCGAAAATAAGGAGAACAAGTATATTATATTCTGTACACGAGATAAGATTATTATCGACGAAGACGACTAATTTGACTCGTCGCGTTCGAAAGTTTTCAATACAATGGGAGAAATTTTGAAGGCCGACAATAAGGAGGGAGGAAAGATATGGGGATGACGAATTTCGCGATAAGTATACCCTTAAATAAGACGTCCCTGTAGTTGATCGAAACTCGAGAATTGAATTTAATCTAATCATCTCTCTTTCTCCAGTGTTTTTGATGCTTTAACGAAATAGGGAAAGTTCTTAGTAGAATTTTCTTCCCTTCTCTCTTTATCAACGAATCAAGTTTGTAGAATTGTTTATCATCGATTTTACGAGTAGAATAATTTTATCGGCCGATCCATAATCATAAAACGCAGACTTTCTAATCCGTAGGAGGAGGGTGGAGGGGCTTTCGATATTCGGTCGAATTGTTTTGAAATAAATTTCTTGGCTAAAAATTCGACTGCGCTTGGTTATAGGACGGGATGGGATGGATGGCGAAAACGTATGCGCGCGCGCGCGCGCGTCGTACCCCCGTGGAAGATAGCCGTGCTCGTAATGGGAACATTTCCGTGGGAAAGGGTGAAATAAATCTTCCATCGGTTCCTCTATCACTCTCGACAGATAAGGTAATCTATTTCTGTTCGTTCCGTTTATAGATGGGGTGCGCGGGCGTAAAAGCAAATAAAATGCAACCGAAAAAAATATCTTCGATCTTTCCTTTAATCAGTATTAATCAGGAATCCTTCGAAATCGCATTAAATCGAGCGGGAGGAGTACTCTAACGCGTAATAAAATAATCGAATAAAAGCAGGAGCGAGCACGATAACAACATGGAAAAGTAATAGAAAAATACAAGTGATAATAAAATGCAAAGCGTCGAGGATGATGCTCTTTGTTCGCGGGGAAAAGCTTTTAAGGTCATGAATGGGGTGGGATTTACGCGGGCTACTGTTTCATAATTGGTCGAGTGAGCAGCATGTGAAAAGGTCCGTTTATGGTGGATATTGTATACCGAACTATGCCAACGTTTCGCTCGTTTATTATAGACGCGACCACGCGCTCGAACATAAATGCGCTTCTGACTTACATGTTCGATGTTCATTCGTCATACAAGAAAGCTTTGCTTGCCAGTTTACAAGCGTAGATACGGATATGCATATATACTTTTCAGTGTGCGAGAGATCAGGCTTTTGAAGGCACACTTAATAGCACCCCACGGATCCCAAATAAAATTGTTATGACCGATAGAGAGAGAGAGAGAGAGGGAGAGAAATATTCAACCCCTAAACTGTTATTTCTTCGTGGCGTACTCCTGTGCTTCCTGTGCTTTCAATTTTACGAGCCTGATATTCGTGTCGTCGAAAAGTAGAATCGTGACTGTGTTACGTGACAGTTATGACTTACGGTTATCGTAGATTATCGCGCCCTTGGAAAAAGATTTGACTCTTTTTCCTAAACTACTTTGGATGTATCGATACTTTAACTCGCAACATTTCAACATAAAACCGAGCTTACGCGAGACTCGATTTCTCGGAGTATCCTCGATTTCTCGGAGTATCCTCGAATTTCTTTCTTTTATTTGTCCTCGTGCAGGTATTTGAATGTATATCCTATACATGCCTGTACACACACACACATACACACAGATATTTGTCCCCGAAGAAAAGGTCCTCGAGTCGAAAAATGATAAAACTGTTGAGGAACTTTTCTGTAGGAAATATGCTGAAATTTCGTTAGATTCAAGGACGGAAAAGATTCATGCGATTCATCGCCCACTCGACGACAAACGTAGGACGAATACGGGTTAGGTGTAGCGGAGATGTGCAAACTTTTGGCGCGAAAACTTTCCGATTGGAAATATTTTGCGTGCTCGTTTCTCTTCCTTTTTCTTCGGTTGTTGGCTTCTATCCTATTTATGTTCCGGGCTTCGACTACCCACTGGATTATCGTAAATCAAGGAGAGTTTGGAAAACGACTGGCGGAAAGGAAAGGGCAGATTCGTTCGTTCGATCGATCGAACCAACGAACGAACGAACTATTTCCTCTGACCATCGATTCGTCGTCGTCGTCGTCGTCGTCGTCGTCGTCCCTTTATCGATTTGGAAATCTGAAAAATCAACGACTGCTGGACTAGCAACTCTCGGCACTCTCCGTCTTCTATTAAACCGAGCCAAATTTTTTCTCCCCCTTTAATTATATCAGCCGAGTCTGATGGGGGTGCGGGTAGTGGGGCAGCAGAAATCGGGTTAACAGATAGTTTTACGAGTTGGAGAGAACGTTCGCGACAAGCTTTCGGATACACAGGGGAGCAAAGTTTATTATCAAGGGCGTAACGAACGCTATGTGCCGTACGCGATGTGAAATATGTTAGCGAACGAGGCTACAAACAAATCTTCCACGGGTAAAAGTTGCACGGCTCGATAGAACAGGTAGTAGTAGTGGTACGTGCCGTTAATGTTGCTTCTATTATCTTGCTATGTCGAAATATCGTGGGAACGTGCTTTCTCATAGAATAACAACGACAACGAGAAAACTTTTCTATGCCTACGATGAAAGTGGAATACGAATGAGTATTCAACGACGCGGGGACGAATAATTTGCCGTAATCTACTCCCGCGATACTCCGGGAACTCGCGTTAAACCTTATTGATCTTATATCCTCGAGCAGGTACCAACCACCATAACCGGCTCTGTTGCTTTCCTTTTTTTTTTCTTTTTCCTCAGTCAAAAAGCGACCAAAGATTTACAAGCTCCCTCTTTTCATCGAATAGCTTGTAAGCTTCGATTTAGTTAACCCCAGCGGATTACAGTCTGCATTCGCAACTAAAACTCCAGCTAAAAGTTTAACCGGTTTGTACCTATGCATATGTACTACGTAGACACTTGTAATGTATGTATGTATGTATCTTTTCGCTTCTTTTTTTCAGAAGG